AGCATATGAATGTTGCTTTGGGACATGGGAACATTTGCTTTTGTCAAAAGAGCATGCTTCTTGTTTAGATTTGGCGAAACATGATACTATTTTGAAAAAAGGTGATATAATAATCTATTGATTCTAATCATTGGAGGAGCAGATGGAATCAATAATCATGGTTGTTTAATACTAACATTTATCTTTTTCTAAAGGGAAGCGTTTGAAAGATAACCAAAAAATGGATTAGCTAAGCCATAAACACATAAGGAAATGGTTTTGTTTTGAATGACTAAAGGTTTATTTGACATGTCGATCACGTTTTACGACTGAATCTTAAAGCAAGTATAATTGAACTCTAAAGCAAATGAAGTCTTTTACTTGATTTGTTCTTTTCTTTCTTTCTTTCTTTCTTTTTTTCTGCCTTTTTACTTTCAAAATCATTCATGGACAAAATGGTTGAAAAGAACTGAACTGGACATTCACCCCTAAGGCCTGTTCGAACATACCACATTTATGTCGGTTCTCAGACAGGAACCCTAGCCCATTCACACCAATTTCCTCCAGCCCACTTTTATTGCTTTGGGTTTTTGTTTCCTTTGGCAATGGCTTCAATGATCAAACAAACAGGGAAAAGAACCCCAAATAGAAAGGGAAAAAATCAAAATGTTAAAAGCATCTTGGCTTTCAATGGGGCAAGTGATTTGGGTTCTGCATTTCGGCCATTACATCAAGAGGAAATTGGAATATTTTGTTTTTATAACCTTTTTTTTTCCCATTTACTTCTAACTTCATTATGCTGACCAAATTCATGTTAAACAGAGAATGCAACTTTTAGCATTAAAAGCAATGCTTTTATATTTTAAGTTGATAAGTTAGCTATTCTTCTCAAAGTAATGCTTAAACGACAACCAAATGAAACCTACTGAAACTGATGCATAAAAAAAAAATCTAGAAAACACTTAATTTTTTTTTACCCAGAAACATAAAAGCACCAGCCCTGGTCAAGTGCCAAGAACAAGCAATTGGTTTTGGCAATTTGCAGAGAAAAGTGAAGGAGCATCAGTTTTTGTTGAAAATTTGACTGGTAGTCTGGCACACTAACAAAAAAGGATAGAGCTCCAGCCTCCAATACAATCTCTCCATTGTGTTTCCTCCCCTGATTGGAGAGTGCTTCCCACGCAGCCAAAAAAGGCAAGACAAAAGACAAGATACCATAGCAAGTAGTAGAGTTGTAGCAGTAGTAAATGAAGTACAGAAACCTGAAAGCTTAGCCAACCCAAAAGAAAAGAAAACAGAGGAAGGAGACACAGTGTGTTAAATGCAGTTACAAAGACAAAAAGTAAACAAAAACTAAAAAAGAAATAAAAAAACAGAGCAGCAACGGCCAGCCAGCGGGGCCAGCAGAAGCAGTGCCGGGGTTTCATTTTTCAAAACAAAACAGCAGCCACAACAAAAGACCTCGGATACGCAAATTTAAAAAAAAACTAAATTTACATTCAACCCCTTCAAAACTTCTCTATTTCTCTTTCATTGGGACTCGTGCAAAACTATAAGCTTTCACTTTCTACTCTGTCTAGACTGTAGTTCTGCTTATATACCCAGAAAGATTACTCTCCCTAAAACCCTTTCTTTTTTTTTTTTTATTCATAGCAGTTAAAATATAAATGAAGGCTACATTTTTTCTTAGTTTAACTCTTTAGTCTTTACTTTGTCTTTTGTCTTTCTCTTAACAAATTTTAGGGTTTAGGATGTGCTCTGCTGCAAGGTCTCAAGCAGCCCGCAGTGGCTCTGGCGTTTTGCTCGCGCCACTACATTTGCCTGGGAGATTGTTTTGGCCCAGAAGGTTTTTTTTTTCCTGTCTTTTCATTCCTTGGTTTTTTAAAGTGTTTCTCCTTTTTGTTCTTTTATCTGGTGTGGGTGAAGATTAGTTTATTTTCATTATTTCTAGTGCTATTTTGTTGTGTCAGCATCGGGGGTTTGAGCTTTTGGGGGATTTAATAGGTTGTGTTTGTTTTCCTTTATGTTAAGAGAATGTTTGGGTTTATTCAAATCTTGCCATTTTTGCCTATACTATATTTTGCTCTTCTACTAGAAGTGTGGGTTTTTTTTAGCTTGGTATTGATTATTTTTGAACCAACGATTAAATGTTGTCTGATTCTGCTGTCTGTTTTGTGCAAATCCTTGCGATTTTGCTTGATTGGGGGGTGGGGGGGAGAGACTTTGCTTGGTATTGTTTCTATTGATGTTGCATTACTTTAACTAACAAGGGAATTTTTATTATGCTGAATAATGTATTATTGCCCCTTTATAACTGTCATAGGAGGATGGGTAACCAAGGTGACAATTAGAACAATCAGTTTAAAATGCTTGATTGCTTGTGCTATATACATTGTCGTAATCTAGAGTCGAGTTGGTTTGCCTTATCTATGGAGAAGAAACTTCTGTGTCAGGGGCATATATTTTTAATTTGTTTCCTATTTGTTTAAGTTTATATTTTTTAAGGGTATAAACAGAGGAAACATGGAAATTTGAATGTTAATAAGGATTTGAAGGTGTGGTGTTAAGGTCTCTCCTGCAATTGATCAGAACAGTTTAAGAGTTCAAAATTTAATGTTGGGCAGATTGCCATATTGCAGAAAGATTGTCTGATCAAAATGTTCATATAGAACGCAGATGTGCTTGTGTATATTGAGATCTCTAGTGCAATGGTTGGATTGTTTGGATCGAGAGGCCAGATGATAATGCGTCCTCTTCAGATATGACTTATCGCTTGTTAAGAATTTTTTATTCATATGTTGATTTCATATATTTGCTTCCCTTGCATTCCATCTTTGTAATGGGAATGAATAATGAATACCATATAAGGAGTGGTCTAAGTGTTCTCCTAAGGTTTGAAAGATTTTCAGTAATACAACATTTTTTTAATGAATTGGAACACACCTTCTATGTCTTACCCTAAGTTTTAGTTTAGATTAATGACGTAAACCATGACTTTCTACTTAATCATGGGTAAATGGTTGTTCCTATTCATATATAGTCATTTCTGTGTTTTTTTTTTTTTGGCATAAGAAAACTACACAGTATAAATATGCTTAGGTGTGGGAAACCATGCATCTAAGATGTTTCCTAAACAATTTCTTCCAGAAAAGAAAAAGGGGAGGTTGGGGTTATGGATGGTGAGTGGAGATCTTGGTCCTCCAAGTTCGTGGAGTTGAAGTTTGCTTTAGAAATGTAGAATGTATGTGGGAGTTAATAAACCTAATTAGTGGAAAAGATAAAAATAGATTGGAAGTGGGCTGTGCAAAAGAAAGAGGGTTCCTCACTAATATTACCCATAATGACTATTTAAAGTTCATCTATCATAATTTTCATTCTCCCTTGCCCCACCAAAACTTTTTCCATCACCACTAAAAGTTCTTCAATCATACTGGTTCCTATTTGAATCTCCTTGACTTTGGCATGCCCCAGTTTCATACCCTACCTTGGCTAACTAACTATTAACACGTGAACCTGATGGTTTAGCCATTTGGATGACAGTGTGGATTCTGAACAATTTAGTCCATGGAGGCTAGTAAGGGAGTTTTATGCTTGATAGAAGTTTGCTATTAGTGTGTATTCATTAAGGGAGAACGTTTAATGATTATGAATGAATTTACCTGAAAGTCACCGCCTGGTGCATCCATGGCTTTATAGGTATACCTTGTTGCTTTTGTTATAGCTCGATCTTATGTTTGAATGTTTCTCATGGATTAACTGTATAGCTTGCATCATGTAATCCAGAAATGAGTCTATATCTTTGGGTGTGCAAGGGAGAGACTTGTTTATTCTAGAATTTACCCCACATGATTCAACTTTGATGTTATCTTTTTGGGTGGGTCTGGTTAGATATCCTTTCCATTTTCCAGTGTTGTCTTCCTTTTACTGTTAAAATCGAGCTATCTTTAACAAAGTTGCAGAAGTTCGCTTATAATTGTTTTTGGTTTATAATGCTAGGTCCAGACACGATGCAACTGATGCCTGCTGGAGAGATTATGCTCTATTCTGACATTGGTTGCAAAAGACTTGCCTTTGTAACGTATTGCTGGAAATCATGGATTTTCCATACTTCGAGTTTGCAATTGGGAATGAAGCCATTGGTCCGTGTAGCATAGGATAAAATTTATTGTAAATTATCTATCTATTTTGAAATTATTCAGATTATAGAACTATGCTTCATCTTTCATTATTCAGTTCTGATTTTAATGCCATTAACTATTGATCTGAGTATTATCTTGCTCCCTCCACATTGTATTTGCATGCGCACGCCTGTTGCTCCATAGCTCCTGACTTCTAGATATATGGTTGGGGAAACTGCTTAAAAGGATATGCGTGGGCCTGAATATGCTGAATTATTATCAGTTCTTGATATCAGTTGCAGGTTAAAGATATACTCTGGAATCATTTTATGCTGAGAACAAGATGGACAAGTCTTTTGCACCTGTAAAATAACAGATCGATTGTTGTTACAGTCTGCAATGAAAGAACGAGGATTCAACAATGCCTTCATATTTCACAGTTTCACTTTTGAAATTAAAATCCAACTTCATTCACCTCTTTCCATATAAAAGATTTTCGATTCTTAGAGGTTTGTCAACCAACCGCAAGGCTAACTCTGCCTAACAGGAGAATGTGAGATATAAAAAATTCACAGATCAAACTATAAAATGGGGCATATGCTGTATGAATTCAACGAAAACAAGTTGTTTGAAATGCAATAGAATCACAAATCAAACTTTTAGAAAGAGATGGTAATTTGTATATTCATGTTGTGCTTATTTCATGTATAGTATATGTTAAATATGAAAATTATCAGTATCTACATCAAACACAGTATATATTTTTTTATCACCCCTATATACATCTTTTGTTAAAATTTTGAACATCACATTTTTGTATATTTTTCCTATCATATGACTCTGCATGATTAAAATGACTATGTCTACTTCTAGATAACATATCATGCATAAAAACCATATCTAGTTAAAAAGTACCATAACTTTAGGTCTTTCATTCAAATCTATTTCATAAAGCATTCAACACAATGCTAAAATAGTTGATTCATTGTATATTCAATAACACAGGAGACTGTTGAAAACTAGAAAAGTTCCATATAAATTTTTGTTTTGGACTGAAGCAATAGAGCTACTGCTAATTTATCTTTGCTTTCTTGGACTTGACGTGAGACTTCTTGGGTACTTGTTCATCTTCCTCGTCGTCTTCGGAAGAGCTTTCAACCAATTCATCAGGGACATCATTGGGAACATTGTGTTTGGTGATGAATTCCTTCAATATGCTCATACTTTCCTCTTTCATTGAAGACAGCTGCTCAGAGAGAGCACCACCCTTTTTGGCATTCACCGTATACAATTCAGAACCAAGCCGAAGTGTAGCTTTAACTTGGGGTTGACCCTCCATCATCACAAACTCTACAAGTTTTTAGGCAATTTAAAATAAAAAATTAGAACCCAATCTAAAAAGCAAAATAAATTTAGTGCTTTGGGTACTTAATCTTCCCTTGTTTTGTGAACTACTTACTCTTCTTCTACCATCACTCCCTATCAAATTGGGCCACCCTTAATAAGCATTCTTAGCTAAAAGCAACGGCGATGAAAGCTGGAAGAGGAGAAAGAGAATACTTTACCTGGTAATCAAAGAAACTTGGGAGCACCTGTTCCTCTAGCTGTTTTTTGGTTGCTTTTTCTCTGTTTATCCCGTTTTCCAGGAGGGCATGTGTTTAAGCGTTTCGCTCTAGATTTAGGGTTTTGACTGTGTCGGAACGCCGTCGTTTTTTTATTTTTATTTCTTTAGCGTTAACGCAAGATAAACTTAAGCCCATGACCATGAGGCCTATCTGTTTAATCATTAATTTATTTGTATGGCGGATTGGATTGGTCTACAGTGCAAGACAGTTGTAAACATTGCCACTCGCCGCCAATGGACAATTCCTTTTTTTTCCCCTTCTATTTCCAACAAACATAATTGCATAAATCATGAGGGTAAATGGGAAAAGAAATGGTTGATGGTGTATCGCCAAGCCAACCACCCTGGTCACCGGTGAAGATAGGAGGGTGTTTTTCCCTACATTTTCAGGCTACCTTCTCTTTTCCTCACCTTATTTTTACAGTAAACAGAACAAAAAAAAAAGGCAACAATCTCTAATTGCACCAATTTTCAGCCTGCATTTTCCTCCCCGTGTTTTATTCTCATGAAATCAAGGTAAGCCTTGCCATTTAGTTTCCGAGCGAAGAATTCCTTTAAGTACTTCTCCAAAGGGACTCGCCGAAAAGTTGGTGGGTTACTCAGACCAATGAGGCTACGTGCAGGACCTAATTCTGAGTCTAACTTGGTGCTATAAAATGTTGCAACTGATAGCCTCTCTTTGGTTGAGTTCACTATTGCTCTGTGCTCAATGCTGCGATAAATTCCATTGCTCAGAATCTGCATACAAACACAGAAATATAACTGTCATTGTTAACTTGATGTAACATTTCCTTCAAGTGTCAATTAAAAGAAATGCAACACGTTTTTCTCCTTTTGTCATTCATTAAGGCATCAAATATCATACAACTAAGTGGCTTGTTCAAAAGTAAAGTAAATTTTAGAATTTAGACCATTCATTATACCATGTAGAGCAAATATAAAGTATACCTCCATGATGTCTCCAATGTTAACTACAAAACCATTACGAAGTGGCTTAATGGAAACCCATTTTCCATCTTTTCGAATTTGCAGGCCTTCAGTTTCATTGAGCTGAAAGAGAATTGTCAAAGCATCAGCATCCGAATGAGGATTGAAACCAATGGCGATATCAGGTTCAGGGCATGGAGGATAGTAATTCATCCTCATTGATTGAACCCCATCAGTGAACAGCTCTCTCATTTCTACAACATCCATCTTTAAGGCACTAGCCATGTAACCTAAAATTATCATAGCTAGATTCTTGACTTCGATGGAATATTCTTCCAGGGTCTCTCTGCAAAAAAAATTATGAAGTTGAAAGCAAAATCAAACATTTCATGAGCCTCAATTCCAGGTTCAAGAACCATGGCAAATATTGTTTCTGTTGCAGCATACCATTTTTTTTTCAATCAAACCAAGAGATGATTGGCTAGGAAACTAAAAGGTGAGGGAGAAAGATACCTTAACTTAAGGGGGAGTTTTTCAAATAGGTCAGTCTTCCTAAGATTGTGCGGCAGTGTGGTTACATAGAACATGTCTGACCAGTCTAGCTTCTGCTCTTCTGATACTACAAACAGTTGGCCGAACCCCTCATGATTATCTGGTTGTTGCCAAAGAAGCTTCTTCTCTTCAAGAGGAAGTTTGAAGAAATTTTCAATCTCCAACTTGAATTCCTCCAATAATGACATACTAACGCCATGATTTACTACCTACATTTGCAAAAAGAAAAGAAAAAGATAAATAATCACGCATTCAAAGGATAATATTTTCTTCGGTGGCTAATGTAACTCCCAAAGGGGATTGAGAGGATTGTCAGATTCATATCAAATCAACCGAATCCGATGGAGACAGGAAATGCATAGTATCTTTTGTTTTAACAAATTCTAGCAACTGAATTATAAAGTGAGCCCTAGTTTCCCTCCCCACAAGAGCAAATCTCGAAAAAGCAGAGTACTTCAACAGCATAGAAATCAAGATTGCCAACAAGTGCTAAGAAACGTTTAAAAGCAAAAACCCCTGTGCCATCGCTGTAAGCAATAGGGCTATGCCCGGGCTCCAACAGTTTCGTCATTTTGCAATATATTTTTCTTCTGAACCAAATTTCTGATAAAAGAAAAACATGACCTACCTGGAAGAATCCCCAGTCCTTGCAAGCAGAGTGTAATCTTTCAAGTTCAGAGTCAACGAAATCCCCAGCAGCCAATTTCAGAAGATCGATGACCGGGACGGATGTTAGCTGGTCATGATCAGCAAGGACAGAGCTAGGTTCGTGGTCTGTACGGACATATCTAGGTGGGATTTTGGTGATGGGCTTCTTGGCCAACTCCTGAACACTAGGAACTATGAGAGATTTTCCAAAGGTAACAACTTGTCCATCTGTTGATGACTCCATAAGGCTTAGGTTAGAGCTTTCAATTTTCAAGTACCGTTCCAAAAGAAAGGATACCAAACTATAGCCAGCAGAAGTAGTTGAATCTTCAGCTGCATTAATAAAAAAAATGGCTTTGGATAGCTACGGAGGTGAAGCCTTTTACGAAATCTTTTACGTGGGATTTGTGAAATTTTTTATTGAAAATGATCGATAAAATTTAAGAAAAAATTAATAATATATAAAAAAAAATTATTTAAATTTGATGAATATTTATTTAACAGTAAAATATTGTCAAAATTTTTATTAAAATATTTGTTTAAAAATATATTAATTTTTATTAATTTTTTTTTAAATTTACATATTTAATTTATAAAATAAAATATTTTAATATATTAATTATTATTAATTTTAATTTTTATTGAATTTTTTTTTATAAAAAACTTAATTTCACCTAAAACGTTATCAAATTTTTCCGTGGAGACGTATACCAGCCTCCATGTTACTGCATTAAGTTGGAAGTTGTCAGAACGTGAAAATTATACATGTAAAAACAAGTTTGAAGATCTCCACGCAATCAAAAGATGATGCCAAAGAATGATTTAATTTCCTTTCTTTATATCTCAAATTAGCTGTAGTTTGACGTTTCTGCATTTGGCATTTTCCACAAATTTTATTTTATTTGTCAAATTTTTTTTCTACAAACGAAAGAGAGACTAGAAAAGGTTAAATGATTAGCATGCTCACATGAACTGATTACTGATGAGTTTCTCGAAAATCCATTGAAATATGAATTAGCCGGTTAGCATAGCACAAGGTCGGGATGATTTTCGAAATCGTCAACCAAGTATCAATGTCAACAAAATATCAGCAATTAAGCATCAACTTCAACCCAATGCCTTTCAAGAAAAGTAGTGAAATTTCAAACAGAGGTTGGATAACATCGGTATAGGACTAATGAAGGCCCTATGTATCACAGACTCTTTCATTGCCAGGGGAATGTAGGAACTGAGTGGTTCAATCCGTTTAGAGGTTGAAATTTAACCAGATCAATCCAGATTGATATGGTTCCAGGTTTATGTGAAAAAGGTAACCTTTAAGCAAGGTAAGAACTATAAACATGACAAAACCTTAGAACAAAATGGAGTCCTGACAGATAAAGATCCTATAAATGGTCAGCAAACTGCAATTTAAGGCAGTATTAACATTCGATTACATAGCTAAAAATCTTTGTAGAAATAGCCATAGGTGAAACAAATCAGAACTTGAAAGGAGGCAAACAAGGGAAGCACAGATTGCTTTCAGTCTTGTGTCGCTCTTAGCATCTAGTAGAGAATAACTCTAAAAGTCATACATTGTAGCGATTCTTGGCACCTCTTTCATGCTTCTTTGCATCCTCCTGAAAGAGCAAACAAATGAGTTTGTTCATATAGCCCACAACTTGAGACAAACTGAAAAAGAAAAAAAAAAAAAAAAAGACAAACAAAATAATATGAAACATCTGTACAAATTAAAAGAAGCCATTACATGAAATATGAAGCCTATAGTTTCATTGTAATCAAGTAACTCTTTCCACTGTTTCCCGATGCTTATCTGCATTAAAAACAAAAACCCATGAAAAATGGTTTTTGAAATGCACAAGCCATTAAAAACAAAAACCCCATGAGAATGGTTTTGGAATTGCCAAAATCATTTTTCCTAATAAAGCAATTCTAATCACCTGCGCAGCTTCATTGGCAGCATTCTTGGTCCACAGTGCTATTTTTTCCTGCCTGGCTCTCACATTAACAACCGCTCCACAGATCTCATCACCATACTCGAACTGTTCTCCAATCAAAGCCAGCAACTAGTACAGCAGACAAATAAGAGATCAGGCCAGGTTTTCCATTAAGCTTCAAATTTTCATACACAAGTGCGCATTACATTATCTGAAACAATACCGTGTACAGCCAGCACGTATCTGACTTCCCCCTCTGGAAGGTTACAGTCCACTTGCCTCCATTAGCACAGACAGGGTCTTCCCACTTTGGCTCAATCTTATATTTGAAACAATGAAAGTTTGCTCCCACAGCCAACTTGCTTGGATGATGTATGCTATTGTAAAGACTGTAATCAGAAAAGTTTGGAAGTTAAATCTATAAGTGACATTCACCGGAGAAACAAAGAGAAACCTATTATTACAGCCCGCTTTCGGTTGAGGTTTCCATAGACAGAATTATAGAAAAATCAATACATCACCGAATGATCAATTGCAGAAACAAACGAGAATATAAAAACGTTAATTTTCCAGATTTCAAGAAACAAAAACATCTCCGACCCCAAACACTAATTAGAGACAGAAAAGAAAAAATCTCTTTTTTTTCAGAAGACTAAGCCAGAACCTAACATGTCATCAAAATCCAAAAACTAAGAAAGAAAAAGAAGAATTAAACAAACCCACAATAAATGACAAATTTCACAAGCTTTGAATTGAAAATTAAAAAAGAAAAGAGAAAGAAGAGATAATAACCCCCAGAATTGTTCGACGGTGGCAAAAGTGTAAATAGGGCGCATAGAACTACCCCAAGTAGCAGTCTTGGATTTGCCAAACCGGTTATCCAACCAGAAGGTCCACGAGTGCTCCAGCCGGTGGGGCTGCTCAACCACAACTTTCTTTGATGAAGAAGACGTCGCATCATCCTCTTCCCCTACGATCTCCCTTTCCTCCAGCTCCTCCTCTTCATCCTCTTTCACATTAGGGTTAGGCTTCTTGTTCTCTTCTTCGTTGTTGCTCAAACATTTGAGGCTTTCCTCGATCCCCATTCTCTCTCTCTCTCTCTCTCTTCGCTTTCGGTGACCCTTTTTGCAACAGAGCAAATAGAGGCTTTCTTTCTTGATTTTTCGATTGCCCAAAGCCAATGGCCCATGGATCTTATAAAATGACCCAAACGCACCTACTTTGTTACATTGTACACTGACTTGATTGTTATTTTGGGCCGAAGCCATAGGCCCATGGACCTTGTAAAATGGCCCAAATCTGTAGGTCAGATCCATTTTTTCCGACCCCCATTGATTATTAGAAAGAGAGCATCTCGAGTTCCATTATAATTTCCAGATTCTGTTCAATCTTAGCTGTTTTTTACATCTGAAAGTTCAGACAGTTAAATATTTGCATAAGCTGATGCCCTGATTCAATTTCGAATACAGTATTACAGTGGTCTAACCTCTAAACCCTCTGCTAGAAATAAGGACCAAAAGAATAGACAAAAAAAAGGTAAACCTGCTGTCAAATCTGCTAGAACAACCGTCGAGGGTTAAATCAGCCGTCTAAAATCTGAATCCTTAAGATTTTTTTTTATTAACATTTTGCTACATTTGTGTTGGTGTCGAGATCCGAGTTGAAGGGTGAAAATCAGTTATGGGATGCTTTGTAGTAGTGATGCTGAAAGATCAAAAATTTTTAGTGCATCAAAATTGTTGTTGAAATCCCATATGAAAGATTATTAATATTTATTTGTTATTTTATTCTAGTGGCTTTTAAATTTAATCATGAAAACAAATTAGTATATGGTTCAATCTCGAGGCTTACCCTAGTTTGCGCTGTATAAATAAGCAGCTGGCTGGCAAGTATTTTTTCCCAAGGATGCCACAGAATAGAGTGATCGATATTGTTGCTGGTCATGATAACGTGATTAATGCAAGGGCCTGACGAGTGACGAGAAGCAGCCATGAACTTCCAAATTTAGCGGTTCATGTTCTCTTGATTTGGCTGGCGTGTTATGATTGATAAAAGGTTAATGAGTTGTCAGAAAGTAGCAGGTACGGTAAGACGAAGGTAATGACATTTACAGGGAACTTGGCCCATTTAATATTAGCAATTCAAGCAAAACTGAAACTTGAGGGTCGATATTACATAATCCCCATCCTATACTCTGATGTGGCAGAAAATCAAAGAAGAGATTTATTTCAGTTGCCCTATTTTGGAAATTAAAAATATCCGTAAAAATATCCATTAAGGGTCATTTATTTTTACAAATGTTAATTTATTTGATTCACATAATTATTTTTAAAAAATAATATTTATAATTTTATTATTTCTATTCTCACACTGCAATCTCCTTATTTACAAAAACAAAAATTCAGATTTGGATAACATTTAGCCGAACTCAAGATTAAAATTATTTTACATGCATGCATGTCTGGTAAGCGAGTGGTTTTCATCAGGAATCAGGATTTTATTATCATCAATTGGTTTATGACTGAAAGTGGTCAAAGATTGATCATTAATTTACTACAGATTAATTTAAAAGTTTTAAAACCATCTTTTACCAAACCAAAAGGATAAGGTTGGTACTTGGCACCACCCAAGACTCTAAAACCAGTTCCCCCATGGTTATGTTTTTACTTGATGAACAATCGGACATTATTTATATTATAGTATAACATGTCCTAACCAAAACCTTTACGTACACTAAAATGCACTCCAATTACAGTCAGTAGCCCAAACAACAAGGAATTGTTTGCAACACGTTTCTCTTTCTCTTTCTCTTTCCTTTTCTTTCTTTCCGTTTTACGTTAATTATCTTTATCTGAATTTAGTTGACCATATAAATCATTGGCTTTTTGTTTTTCTTTCTTGTTTTGGATGATACTAACGATTTCTGGAAACCACTGTTAGGAAAATATAACATTAGCTGGCTGAAGGTTTATTCTTGTGGAATTGGAAAAGCATCTTCTTCTAATTTTATATATTTCTTTTGATTTCTGGAAATTGGAATTTTTTTTTTTTTAAATGTGGCTTTGAAGTGTTGCTTTTTCTCTTTCACTTTTTTCTTGAAGGAAAGTGAAATGGGAATCCATAAAAATTGCTCCATTTGTGTTTTTCTTGAATAAAATAAAGTGTTGTTTTGCAGACACCTTTTGAATATTTAAATGCTTTGAGAACAATCCATTCGGCACCCCAACATCCTTACATTTTTAGCCCAAAGCATTTGAAATGACTCATTCACATATTAGAGTTTGATTAAGTCTTCATTGTTTAACATTTTTATACTAAAAAAATGCATTTTTTCTACTAAATGGCTTTCATAATTTTAGCCTATATTTAAATGCAACTGCAGCTTCAATAAGATGCAATTAAATTTCAATTATCATTAATTAAATTTAAATACAATTTTAATTAAATTTATTTAATATAAATTTTTTATTAAAAAATTATTTTTAACTTAATTATAATAATTATTATTTTTATTTTTAATCTCGTCAAAATCAATTTTATAGTTCGTTCAAATGTATTCTTAATTTTCTTTTCTCACGTTATTGCTAGAAACACATCACATTCGTGTTCCTTGGGGGAAAAAAACATTTTATTAAAATAATAGAAAACTAATAAAGAATCAACAAATTTTTTAAATAAAAAATGTGTTTAAAGAATCTATGGCTGTGATGTGATCCACGTCTTGATGTGATGTGAAACTCACAATATATTTGGTCTTTTTCTGACAATTTTCGTTGTCTGACACATTTGCACTGAATCATTCAATTTAATTATTAGCTATAATTATTATTATTATTAGTTCATCAAAACAAAATGATTTGATTAATATATTAATTTAAGGAAATTTATATAAAAATTCTTTGGTTTATTTTTATACACAAAATTGTGAACACGTGGGTTCGAAATGAGTGCAACTAGTTTAGTTGTCATCCAAATTTTCAACGAAAGGTTAGAATTAGATAGAATATTTAACTTAAAAACCATGTTTTTAAGAAAAAAATGTGGAGATTCGTTTTTTAATTTATGATGTATTGTTTGTTTTAGTTTGAAAATCTCACGATTTTATGTTATAAAAAACGTCTTATAGATTTGAATTTTAATTTTAATTTATATATTATTTTTTATCTATACATTCTTTCAATATAAGATTGGAGACGTTATAATTTTTTTATTTTTAAAACTTGACATCACTATTAAGTCGAGAATAATCATACGATCAATATTACATCAAACATTAAGATTTTAAATGTAACTCTTCACTGTATAACATTTAATAATTTTTACGATCTTATTATATAGCACTTAATTTTCATCAATTTGTAATTGTTTTAATATTATTTGTGAATATCTACATCTAACTTATGAGGTATTATTTACTTTAATTCGAAAATCTCATAATTTTAATTCATAAAAAATACTTCATAAATTTAAATTTAAACCTCCACGTATATTTTATTACTTATCTATATATTTTTTCAATATAAAATCGAAGGTCGCCCTATAAAAAAACAAAATAATGAATAATGATGATGGTAGTCAGTTAATTATATATGAAATATAAACATTATTAGGTCCTATTGTTGGGGAACATGTTTAATAAATGTAGAACTGTCAGGTGTTTATTATTGTTGAATTTACTAAAATCCAATGATTTTGTTCAATCAAGTTTCAAGTGACTCAACTTAACTTCATGCAATTTCATTCTTTCCTCGTGCAAATTGTAATTGAGGCGAAGAAGGTAATCATACCCCCTTTTCAAAAATTAAAATAAAATAAAACTTTATTTTCCTTTGCAAAATAAAACTCAAGAGCATACATAGACAACAAAATCTTATAATAATTTGATTTTTTAGTAGTCTTTTATCTTTTTATAGTGTATATATTCCCGCTCACACACATATATAAATTTTGTATAAAAAGATCTTATTTTAAGATTAGATGAAGGGATTGCATATATTTATTGTTTTTCTTTTTTGATAATATAAACATGATTGTAACTTGAGAATAAAGGAAGTAATATAAATGTTAAGATTTAAATCTTTTATTTATTGAATATTATATTTTAAAAATAATTATATAAATCAATTAAAATAAATTTCGAATTCGTTGTTTTCTTTAATTTAAGTGAATAAACAGCATATAAATGAAAAAACAAAAGGGTTTATTTAATTAACAATGAACAGTGTGAAACAAGGAGAATATGAAATAATTTATTAGTAATTAGAGAAGTTGAACATGTACATGAACAGTAATTAAATCCTAAACGTAATTAGACTACCGAATTAAACCCAAATTCTTTGTTTTCTTTAATTTAATTGAACCGAAAAAAAAAAGTTTATGTTATCACCCAAAAAAAGGGTTTATGCAATTAACAACGAACAATGTGAAAACACGAAGAATATATGCAATAATTTAGAAGAAATTAGACAAGTTGAACATGTGCATGAACGGTAATTAAAAAGAAAAGCAGTTGGGTTTAATGAATAAGTCATTAATTAAGATGTAATTATAGGGTTATAATAGAATTTAAAATAGAAAAAAAAATATTGGGAAAATTAAAGAAAACTAGGAAAATAAAGAATGAGAAAAAGAAAAAGCCAAATTCCTCCTTTCTTGATCTCATGATTTGTAATGATAACCTTTGCTTATGAACATGCATGAATGTGGGGGAAGTACTTAAATTTGTAACTCATCAAACTCATGGAAACTTGAAACTTTTTTTAACAGAAAATTTCAACTTTACAGCGAACGCATGATCTTTATCCTTCATGAATGCAATAAAGTTCATCCATACAAGGGGCCCCCTCCTACCCACAATTGCTGCAAAGGACGAATAAAGTTTGATCGATCCCTAAATCCCGGTTTCACATAGTTTTTTTTGGAGATCCAACGATATCCTAGTTTGTTTGACTCTCTGGTTAATGGCCTCATTCTCATGTTGTCATTACAATAAACAAAAGAAAGAAAAACAAGAGTTCTACTTAGTCCTTGTCAATTGTCGTAGTTATTAACTAATTAACTTCAACAAAATTAAACTATGCCAGTCTTTTAATCAATAAGGATAGAACTCACATGTCCAAGTTATTGTCCCTGTCAACCTCTGAAAAGCCTAATCATATTAAAGATTATAGATATTAAAATTTAAATTTTTTAAAATAATTATATCAATTAATTTAATTAAATGTTGAATTAGAAAATATATAATTATTAACTAACAAAAATTTACGATTTTTTTAATCGCTGTCAATCTCAACCCCAACCTACAAGTTAAATAGCAGTAGATTGTTATAATGAGAAAGATAAAAAACGTAGTAGTATTGGATGAAAGCAACAGTTTTTTTTTATTTTTCTTTCGCATTAAACCCCAGGTATCTTCTCGACTTTAAGTATCTGGCAAAAGTGTCTGTCTACGAGTCTTTTTCTCTCTTAATAAGAAAAAAACCAGCTGTTTCTGATGGGATTATGTCCAATGACAAGACAAAATCTCAACAGTGGTTTTGTTTTCTTGGCAAAGCGGTGTGTAATCGTAATAACTATGACTAAGGTTATATTTAGATGATGATAAAATTGATTATGATAAGATTAAAAATAATAATAATTAATTATGATTAAAAAATTATTGTAATTGTGATTAAAAAAATTAATAAAAAATTTATATTTAATGAAGTTTATTTATTTAATTTTTAGATTTATTCGCTGATATGATAAATTTAATCTATTGTATTATATTAGATGTACGATTAAATTCAAACGGACACTAAATTTAAGCTGAAATTTTGCAGCTTGTTTACTTAAAACAAAACCTTCAAGCTAAGAAATTTAATCATGAAACAAAAACTAGAAATTAACCAAGCAATAAGCAAAGGGAAATACTAATAATTGTTGAAACTCATCAATAATTATGTGCTACTGTAATTATTTTCTTTTTTTTTTTCTTTTCATGTCACTAGAAAACAAAGGAAATCAATTTTTTCCCAATTCATTTCTGAATTCTGAAATGAATACCAAAAGAGAAAAAAAAAAGAAAAAGATTTGACCATGGGTTATGCTTCCAAAAATCCTGTCATTCTAAGAATTGAATTTCGAACTTGACTTAAATCCCTTCCTTTAAGCGTCCTTCCATTGCCAGTACAAACCGAAAACGCCATTTTCCCAGCAATTCTCCTTCCTGATATCACATGGGGAGGCACGATTTCCTCTTCCTCACCTTCTTCCTCTTCCTCAAAATCATCAGCTTCACCGCAATGAAAAACAGTAGTACCATGATGACGTGGGATGTTAACTGGAAGTGAACTGGCATCCATCTTTTTCTTCTTCTTCTTCTTCATGGTATTTTTCTTGGACTTGTTGTAGTTACCTGAAACACGGCCGTTTTTGGAGAAACCTTGGTAATAATCGAAGGACCCATCACCATGAACAGCAGCATCCTCGTCATGTGTGCCGTAATGATTGCTGCTGTGGTCGGAAAATATAACCTCGGACTCTTGGAATTCTTCTTCGGCCATTAGATTCAGATTGTACTAAATTTTGTAAAGGAAGAGAGGGAAGTTTTGAAGGGAGGGCAATGGAACAACGGCGAAAATGAAGGGAAAAAACAATGGGAATTTATAGGAGAGAATCTAAATCGTTTTTGTTTTTTATGTTGGAGTATGAGAAGAGATGGCGTCAGTCTATTAGGCGTTGAGTACGGTCCCCGCTTCCGTTATAATTAAATATTAATAAAGTTTTGTATTTTTGTCCAAGTTATGTGATTATTTTTTAAAATTTTTTTGTATTAAAGCTCCTTTGATTATAATTATCAAATTTGGTCCCAAACATAAATACAAAAAATTTGAGTAATTATTTTAATTAGGATAAATTTGTTCTTGTCGATTGTAATATTAAACAATATAATTAATAAAAAAATCAAATATTAAAATAATTATTTTTCTAAAATACACTAATAAATAATTAAATATCACCTTATTTTTTTATATATAAAAAATTATAACCCGAAAGAAAAGAAAATTATAAACACTAAAATATAGTGCAGCTTCAACGCTAATTTATTGCCTTCACTAAATTGGCCTAACTTTATCGACTCTTATTCTCATTGTGCCAAACAATATTTGCTTAATTATGTCGTCTGAACATCCGTTCAAATTATATGCATATAGAATAGATCTTTAAATGTAAATTTGAAAAAATTTAGACGCGTAATATTTTTAGATAAATTTGAATAAATAATAAATTTTAATTTAAACTTTCAATCCTTTAGTTATAATTTGAGAAAAGGGTAAGTTCCTTAGAGTTCTTAAAAGCATGCTAAGCTCAGTTGTGGTCCTACATTCACTTTTGGGAACTTGGCCAATCTTAATTGGAACTTGATGTGTGTGAATTTGGTAGCTTTTTTAATAATTATATGTCTTGAATTAGGGAAGAAATTCCTTTCCTACATTGCCAATAGAGAAAGAATGGTGTCACCCCTTGACTAAACAGCTAAATTGCAAGAAAAGTCTCCTTTTGTGTAATGATGTCAACATAATCTCCTAATCATGAAGCAACAAACACAATTATCTTTTGTTATTTTGATCATGATAAAGTAGAGGTTTTAGATAAATTTTTTTTATTAATTGTTTATATTCAAACAATGTCTTCGAGTACGAGTTTAGTTTAAATCCAAATAGTTCATCAATTTTTTTTAAAAAATAAATTTTAATAACGTTGAGATTCAATTTTTAATACTTACAAATTTTCTTTTTCAAATTTTTCTTAGACCATACTTTCATCTTCTTATCCTAGTGACAAAGAAGCCTTAAAAAAGACAGGAAGATTTGAATTCAAATCAAGGCATCTCTTCCCTAATCCCAAAATCTTACAAAAAAAAAGTTTGTATATGATGGTATTTACCCAATTATTAGAGAATTAATTTTGCAATATATTTTTGTTATAACAATACATATCTTTCATAAAAATATATTTGAGAAATATGATAATAAAAAGATAAATGATATTATTTTAATCTTATTTGTGATTTTTTTTTTATTAAAAATCTCCTTTTATAGTGTATAAAATAATAATTTCAATGTGATTACTTTTTATTATAGCAGGCCCAACATTAAAATTGGGTTTACAATGTTGCTTCAAAGTAAGAAGATAGTGAAAATGGTGTCGTAGAAGGGTGAAAAGTGTTTTTATGGATAAAAGATGAATATTTAGGATTGCTGGTTTAATTATGTGAATATTTAATATAATATTTAAATTATAAATTTATTAATTAATGTGATATTTAAAGTGTTGTTTGTTCGAAATATATTATTATTTAAAATTAATCATTTTTGGAGATAAATAGTATAATAATTAATAAATTTTTAATTCAAATATTACATTAAAAAATTTTTAAATTTAAATATTATATTAAATATTTTATTATAATTTATCTGTTGTTTATAACACTTAAAAAGTTTACTCTTCAGTGGAATTTCTTCAGCCCAAGTTTCAAGTCCACTGCGGCCCAGCTCTACCAGTAGTATTATACAGCTAAAAAATTTGGCAAAAAAAAAAAGAAAAAAAAAGAAAAGACAACCTCCGATTAGCGGTCTGTGTTTCTATCTGTCCTGCTCTTTCTGTTGCGTCTGAAACTTGATAGTTTTACACTTTTACTGGTTCAAAGCCAGAATTTAAAAGTGGTTTCTATTTGATGAAGAAGAAGGGTAGCAATGGCTTTTCGTTGCATTTATTCAAGAAGTTATTTTAGGATAATATTTTTTTCATTTAAATTACATCCGATAATTTATATATCTATATCATAGTGTTAAATAAATGTAAAATACAAAAATAATTATATTAAATTTGTTTTGATATATAAAAATAAAATATATTTTTTTAATTTTTATTAATTTATATTTAATTAAAATTTTTTTTTCATATTATATAATCATATTATATTTAAAATTATCGAATTTAAATGACTAACTTAAATGTAAATGGATTTTTTTTAAAGATAAAATGCCTAATCGAACAGAATTAAAATTGCAGATATAGCTACTTGGGACTTAAATGAATAAAAGCCCGTAATGGTCTTTTGAATGTCAAACGAATCCATTTAACTGAGCCCAGTCCACAACTCACCGACTCCACATCCTCTAAGAAAACACGGAGGAGCTTCTTGTCAAACGTCATAAACCGGCTCAAATCAACGGCCATGATTTCACCACCACGCGCAACAGCGCTACTTTTCGTCCTTCTCGCCACCACCGTACCGCAACCCGTAAACTCCCTCTCTTACTTTCACTATAAAACCTTAGTCTCCCTCTCCCATTCCCTCCTAACGCGCGTGGCCAACTTACGCGCCGCACGTGGGGACGCGGCTGGCTCGAACCGTGCGCGGCTCATCGCTGACAAGCTCGACCGATTGCAAGGGGTAGGGTTTTGGGGCGCGGCGTGGACGGTAGGATGGGACTACATTTGGAACTACTCCTGGAGGAGGGATTTGGATTATGGGGAAATCTATGGCGTCGTAGCGGATTTGAACCAGTTAGGGAGGTTGCTGGGCGAGTTGACTCGGTCCAACTCGGAGATGGAGAGGGCTGGCTGGATCGCTCGGAATTATGGAAACACCCTCGCGGTTTCGAAACGGATGTTTAACCGCCTTCTCAAAGTATTTAAAAAATCGGTACGTTTTCTCTTTTCAGTCCAAAAATTGGAATTAATAAAAATATTTTTAAAAATGTGGTAATTAATTATAATTTAATTTGTTTTTCAATGTTGTTGGAAAATTGGGGCAGGGGGCATTAAGGGAAGTTATTGAAACGATTCGTAACGAAGTATTGGAAGGAGGTTTATTGAAGGACTGCTTGGAATTAGGGAGTAATGATTTGAAAGGATTGGTTCAAATTATCAAGGATTTTGCTTCACACTATTCTTCTGCTTCTGATTATTCCCAGGAGTTGTGATTCAAAAGGACGACATAACTGAAGCCAACTGTAATCTTTTTTCTGGTTTGAAGTGTTTCAACTTTCCAACCAATAAAAACAATGTGATTAGGACAAAGAATGCCATGAAATGAAATCCCAAACAGATGTTTAAACTTTAAATTGCTTAATTGATTTTCCTTTTGGCCTGAGAATTGGAGATGCTGCTGCCTGCCCATGTTTTACTAAAATAAAACCTCTTGAAGATCATTTGTTATCTTGGTCTGAAGGATAAATTGATGCACATAATCATATGTCAATAATATACCAAAGACATGCTTCATTTGCATAGGTAGATAAGCAGCAGCGTTACGAAGTGATGCCAACTTGATTCACTGGTTGGAGATATGATCATATGTTAAAAAATTATTCATTATTTACAGCATAAATTCTTAAAAATCACAATACAATGCCACATATGCTTCACACATTTCTAACTAAGCTAACACATAAATACGATCAGTTATAAATCTAGTCACACTTAAACAATCTATTTGCTGACAATGTAAAATAATATCAACTCAAGTTACAGTTGTCAATAATGAAAACCAATTAGTGGCAACATGCCGTGAGAGTCGGTGATGACTAAACAAGATCAAGTTTTTTGCATTTAGTGTAGAGTTTCTGGTTGAGATGAGTGAAAGGCAAAGCAAAGAAACACACGTTTAAGAAAAAGAGGAAAGAAGATAAATTTGCTTCGTGTTTTTAAAAAAAGTGTTTGAGGGTAAACAAAAATAAATGTCAAGCAAATTATTTGCTGAGTAAGTAATTTTGATAGATGTTTTAATTTTATTGAAGGAGTTTAATAATTTTATCTAAGGAATTTTATATTAACTAGAAAAATGATTGCATGTTACCGTAGTTAAAAATTTTTTTATTTTGCCATTTTTATTCATTGTATTTTTTTATTAATTTTATTTAATTAAAAATAAAAAAGATTAAAAAAACAAAGGAGATTGACACATGGATACTTTAATTTACCTTCTTTTTTTTTTATCAAATTTATCAAATAAAAAATATAAAAAATTGAAAAAAATATAAAAAAATTAAAAAAAAAAGCTCCAATAGTGTCATATTGACACCTTACATTGAATTTAAAATATTAATTTTTTAAATAAAAATAAAAAATAATTTTATTAATATAATACATATATATAATTAAATAATAAAATATATACTTTTATATATAAATTATAAAATAAATTAAAACAAAACACTTTAAATATGATTCCGACCCAAACATTTTTTTTTTTAAACTCAACTCTTCTAAAGTATATTATTTAAAGACAAAATGATCAAATATTCACTTGACCCATTTCAAGATAAAATATTATAAATATTTATAAATATTAAAAAAAGAAAAATGTAAATAAAAACTGATAAAAAAAGATTAAAAAAAAAAACTTAATACATGACATATTTTATGTATCAAGACAAAACAAAAAAAAAATCTTAAAAAATTTAATTAAAAATATAAAAATAAAAGTAACAAAAAAAAAACCGATGATATACTTTTAGTATCAAATAAATTTTATAAAAAAATAAGTTTAAAATTTTGAAGAAACAGATAAAAAACAAAACTGAATTCTATTTTTGAAAATAATAAAGTTTTATAAAAAAAATTATTAAATATAAAAAATATAATAAAAAATAAAAATAATGTGTGACATAAATTTTTCTCCTACTCAATGCATTCGTACATAATAAAAATTTATTTATCGGATTATTTGAAAGACCCATGTTACTCGGCAGGACTTAGTCAATCCTACATTAAATTTGTCTACCCACTACCATTAATGACATTATTTGGTTCGTTTTTCAAGGACACGTGCATCTGCATTGTCAGATTCGTTGCTCTTGCTGCTAGATCGAGAGAAACATCGGCGAGTCGTCCTTGTAACTAGAAGGGCCTTGGTCCCCAAAAATTTTCAAAATCCTTTAATATATATATATATATGTTATATCATCATACAATTAATTTATTTATGTTATTTGGTTTAAATAATTAAATTAACTCTCACATTATAATTATAATTTGTTAATTTTTCTAATTTTTAATTTAACTTTTATATTTAATTTAAAATGAATTAAAATTATATTATTATTTATCTATTTATTGTATTCTACATAATTATTTTTAAATTTTTAAAAATAATATTAAATCACACTCATTCAAACTTTTTAAAAAACTAACTTTTTAGCTTTCACTCTTGTACCAAAAGTATATGAATTTTTTAATTGATTACACTTATTTTCTCATATATTTGTGATTGTTTTAATTTTTTATTTGATATAATTTTAAATAAATTATGTTAATTACTTGAATTTTTTATTTTGTTTGGAATATCTATATTTGACATATATACGATAAATGTGAGAATGAAATTTGAATGATTCAAATATATGTAAAAAATTTTTAAAAATAAATATATCTGTGTTGAATATATATTCATTTAATATTTATTTTTGAATTCGATTAATATAACAAAAAATATTTATACTATATAATTTTAATTAATTATTTTAAAACTTGAAAAGAAATCTTGTTTATCATCGATATGACATTTTTATTTTAACGTAAAGCTAGCTCCACCATATCCTGGTTCTGAATTGAAGTAAAGGTTGTTTTCCTTTCAAAACAGGAGAGCCACCAGTTTCTCTCAATCAAGTCATGCACCGAATCGGCAAGATGATCAAAGTAAAACGCAAAATTAAACAGGAAAAGCCAAAGAGGTGGTACAGGAATAGGACCACAACAAGTCCATATTGGGTTAGTGTTAATGGCATTTGATTGAGTTACCATTTTTCTTCTCTCCACCAAGTTGATGAGATGTCAATCTTTTTGGGAATGGGCTATGTAATGTTCTTTTCCCTAGATTAAAAAGGCTGCACTTTGGCTTATAGGCATTGAAATCTTGAGGATAAGAAAACCTAATTACATCAAAATATGAATGAAACAAATGGGGCAATGAAACGATTTGGTTGGTGTTACATCATCATTCAATGGTGCAGGTACAATATTAATTAGTTCAGCAATCTAGTTATTTTTTTTTCATTGATTATATGGGTAGGGTGTAATTTGATCCATGAAGATTGAAAACGATATGTTTTATTTTCATTTCAGCAATGCTATCGACCCACTCTGTTAATATCATCACATAATCGAGTTAAGAAAGCATATAGACTCTAGATTTTCTTATATATGAAATGGAAAACTAAGATAAAGCTATGGCTAGCATTTATGCAGTCTCTTAAATCTCGATTAATATGCATGCATGATTATTTTTCCTTCCCTCCCGAAAGCCTAAGGATCATGATAAATATAACTCATGATCACTTTAGCGCATTGTGGATATATCAATTGTTAATAATTTAAAATATGATATATTTCATATTACATAAAAAGTTAATTATTAATGAATAAATTTAATTTTATTTATATTTTGAATAATTATATTTAAATAAAATAATTATTATAATTATTTAAATATAAATAGATGATTTTTTATATAAGTTATAATTATATAAATGATTATAAGTATTGAAATTTAAAATTTTAAATATCACATTTTAAAAATAATTATATAAAATATATTGACTATGCTCCGAATTTTCAAAAATAACCATTTTTATAAGCATATTGTAAACTTTTTTCTTTAACCAACAAATAAGAATAGAAGGGAAGTATTAATACATACAAGCTAACCGTGGAGTTTGGACCGACAAGCTTTTTTGTTTAAGTAAAATTTAACTCGAAGAAATTCAGAGCTGAGATCGATCACAGAGAGAGAGAGAGAGAGAAGTGCATTTCCGGTATTGGAGTACAGACTCTTAACATTATCAACGCGTGATATTAATGGGGCTAACCTACTTCACCTGTAAAAGCTAAGAAACAATATCACTTGCCTTGCGTTTTGATGGTTGCGTAATCTTCTCTTTCCTTCTTCTCTCTCTCTCTATATATTATTACCTGTTAGCATTTATATTACTCACCAGATGCCATCACTCGCATAGGCTTACTCGCACACGCATTTCCATCGTTCTTTTGGCCTTTTTTTTTTTTTTGACCTTTAATTTGATTCTTACAATTTGATAGTGATATGGAGAAGGGATGGGGGGTGTTTGGGGTGGTGTTGATTTTGAGTTTGTGCTTTGGGGCAATTAGAGGGGCACCCCAAGTTCCTTGCTACTTTATTTTTGGAGATTCATTGGTGGATAATGGGAATAATAATCAACTGTCGTCACTGGCTAGAGCTGATTACTTGCCTTATGGGATTGACTTCCCTAATGGACCGACCGGAAGGTTTTCCAATGGTAAAACTACGGTCGATGTCATAGGTGAGCTTTTAATTTAATTTCTTTGTCTTCATCTGATTGACAAAACTTTCGATTTCTTTCACTACTGACTCTTTGATTGAATAGACCGATTTGGATGAGATAACGATTTATTGAAGTTGATCACTTGAGTAGTGTTTCTTTATGAAACTTCAAACTTCAAACTACTGTAGTAGTAGCATGTCGTAATATCAACTAATTCCCCTTGATTTTCTGGGTTCTTTAATTTAATGATCAACATTCAACATGGCCTCCAAAGTTCCAAAGCAGGAAAATCACCACAACTTTTCTTATAATTTCCAATATCAGGATAGCAAAGTGAAGTGAATTTCAATTTTCTCTTCCAGTCGTCTGTTGTGATTTCAACATTACTTTTTTTTCTATCTACAGCTGAACTTTTGGGCTTTGACGATTACATTCCTCCTTACTTAACCGCTAGAGGTAGACAGATTCTCGGAGGAGTCAACTATGCATCCGCGGCTGCCGGAATCAGAGAAGAGACTGGACAGCAACTGGTATTTACTAACCATTTTCTGGATCATCTATAATTTTTGCGTCAATATCCATGCTAAAATTCTCATCTGCAACTGCATTAGGGAGATCGGATCAGCTTTAGCGGGCAAGTGAAAAATTACCAGCAAACAGTTTCACAGGTGGTAAACTTGCTAGGAGATGAAGATAAAGCAGCAGATTATTTGAGCAAGTGTATTTACTCAATTGGACTTGGTAGCAACGATTACCTTAACAACTATTTCATGCCTCTTTATTACTCAACCGGCAGGCAATATAGCACCGAGCAATTTGCTGATATTCTTATTCAAGAATATACTCAGCAGCTTCAGGTTAGTATTTTCTATTGATCTTTACATATTAATGGATCTTTTGATGATTATAATAAAATGCTGTGAATGATCCAGGCTTTGTACGACTATGGGGCCAGGAAGTTTGTGTTGATTGGGTTGGGTCAGATCGGCTGCAGTCCAAATGAATTGGCTCAAAACAGCGGAGATGGTCGAACTTGTGTGGAGAGAATCAATGCTGCCAACCGGATTTTCAATAACAAGCTTAGAGGTCTTGTCGATCAGTTCAACAACGCCAATTCTGATGCAAAATTCATCTACATTAATCCGTATGGAATTTTCCAAGACATAACAAGCAATCCTGCAGCTTATGGTAAATATTAGTAATGAAAAATGTTAACACTGATTAAAATGTTACCTATGAAAAAAATAAAAAAACTCTTAAGAGAATAATGTGTTAATGATTTATGTGAATTTCAGGTTTTAAGGTAACAAATGCAGGGTGTTGTGGGGTTGGGAGGAACAATGGGCAAATTACCTGCTTGCCTTTCCAAACTCCATGCCAAAATAGGGATGAGTATTTGTTTTGGGATGCTTTCCATCCAGGTGAGGCTGCAAATGTGATTATTGGAAGGAGGTCATACAGTGCTCAGTCTCCCTCCGACGCTTACCCGATCGATATCCGCCGTCTTGCCCAGCTCTGAAGATGGAGATCAGGCTTTGATGAGATAATAATTTATAAATAATAGTCCATATATATAATTCACACTATTTTTCTGCAATTCTAAATATTGTTACGATTATTTGTGTCAGTGTTCTAAGGGATGTGGCATTTAATTATAGTTTCAAATATCTACGAACTCATGGTTCTGGCCTTTGGGTGTATCTTTGGAAAGTTATTAATGTAAAAACTTTGGTTAATTTGTATCGTTAGTTATAATGGCAATGGCATATGAATTTGGAACACCTGATCAGAGTGAGTATGAATCCTATGGAAGTTGAAAATATGAGACTCTAAAGTTCAATAATTGAAAATATGGCACACTGAACAATTGGATATTTGCAAATTGCCATTGTTTTTTTTTTTTAGAAAAAAAAAAAAAACTCTTTGTTCTTGGTGAAAATATGAACTTCACCGTGACAGTGTGGGCTGGGTTATCCTCTTGGCAAGGTGGAAAGGAAAGAGAAATGGAAAGAACAAAAGAAAAACAGAAGATTTTCTTCTATTAATTTGTGGAGTATTGGACTTATTTTACCTATTGATAATTGTCACCAAAAGTTTTTCTTCTATTGTTTTCACATCTTTTCTTTAATTGTTATTCAAACAATGTATATAAATCATGGCAAAAAAGAAAACAATATATAGAAATCATATTTCACGACAAGTTCTCTTCATTAAATTGTCTTCTCTTTGCTTTCATCCAAACATAGCTTGAAGGTAAGTTGCTAATTGCCAGCATTGGTTTGTCCAAGGAAGTGAAAGCAATAAAACCCGCTTTGCGCACGAGAGTTCATCCACTCCAGTTTAGCCCAAACATAAATATCTTTAGGCCCATAACCTTCGCTTGGTCTTTCTGTAATGGTGTTGAGTAGACTGGGGCCGATATGGTGCACCCCAGATGCAGTAGCATGCATCGCAGGGAACAAAGGGCAGGCAAATCATGTGTCAAGGAAATAAGCAATCCCTTCAAATTTTCAATAACAAGCTCAACTCAAGCAACTCGTTGATGAGCTTCTGAAAAATTCAAGCATGCAAAATTTATCTTTTTGGATAACTTTGGGGTGTTGCTTCGACATATTTCTTCACTTGGTACAGATTCCAGCTCAATTCTCAACTACAGATTTTGTTTCATCATTTTATTGGACTAATTATTCTCTAGTTCTTGTGATATATATATATATATATAAATATATATATATATTTATATTCCCATTTCTGTGTCATAGTTATGTTTGTGAATATCAGGTACTAACTATAAAATCACTGGATCTTGTGATGTCGAAAAGCAAACTGGTCTATGTGTCCCTAACAAAGCTCCATGCAGGAACAAGGAATTTTACCTGTTCTTTGATTTTTTTCATCCCTCCGAGGCTATTAAATTCATAACTGCAAGTCTGCAACAAGCCAAATTATTTTTACCCTCTTACTTGACAGAAATCGGTTCTGATATTGGTCGCCTGATGCCCTGACTACTCACCGAGTAGGGAAGGAGCTGTAGTTTTCGTTCCAAAGCAGTGAAATCATTCATAAAAATAAAAAATAAAAAGAGCAGTGAAATTATTGTTGTTGCTGGTTTTTTTTTTATTTTTTATTTTTTATTCCATTTTGAAAAATGGTATACTTCAGAGATTGAAAAAACATAAGTACCCAATTAGGAGTAGAAATGTTTCATTTGAAATTTAGGGCACATGCAGAGATTGAGTTACTAATTCTTGTCTTAAGGATATCTGTATAAAACTAAAATTTTAGCAACTTTTTCATGACATGTAGGGCTAGAAACTAGAAAAACTGAAAGTTAGAAGGACACTAATCTTGTCTTTATGGCTGTTCCTATTCCTAACCTTTAAATTCAACTCTAAATTTTGAGACAAAAAAGAAAAACATGGAAACTGTAAACATGCAAGCATATATGGGAAAATAGAAGGATATAGATGATATCATAGAATGAGAAATTTCTTGAGTCATGAGGAATAACCTTTGTAGAATCCTAGTGCATGCCATAAACAGATGGAAAGAGGACTTGTTGTCTGATAAACAAACTTATCAGTCTTACACACTCTACATAACTAAAACATGGCAGATGAGTTCTACGTATGGTCCTCCATTTAAGGGATAGTTGATTCCTTCCTTATGGCTATTTCAGGATACTGGTAGCTTTCATCTGACAGAATACCAAGCTGCTCTGCACTAAAACAGAAACAGAAGAAAGTGCCACCTACTCCGAGGCCAGAATATTAGCTGCCAACGCATAGAAACAACTTCTTATGGTCAACTGGGATTATTTCCTTTATATATGTGGTCATTTAGAAATTAGAATCACCATTATTATGTCTTAATAATTTACATTTTCATGAACAATACATAAACATTTACTAGTAAGAAAACTTATATATATACTTGGTAAGAATATGGCATATCCTGAGTCAATGAAAAATTAACAAGAAAACCTAATCAATGGTAAGAATATAGCATTTTCAGGAAAGCACACGTTTAGAATAGGAATATATTGCAAATTGCAATTAATAGAATAGTGGATGGCAGGCTGATGAATCATTTTTTTGAATGGAATTTAACATAACATTTAGCTTTATCAAATTACAATTATATATCCTTCATGATCATCAAGTAATTTTTAAATCTAAATGATGTGAGTTTTCTAACACCTTATGTTCGAATCAGGTGATACCTGGTACTCAATAGGGCGTGCTGTGTGGTGTGGGTGTGTGTCTAATTTTGAAGAAAGGCATGTCTATATATGCCATGTACATGAAAAATATTGCAAATGGTACATGTTGATTATGTGATTTTGATGTGCATTTCGTAAAAGAAAATTATGAGAAAGATTCTTACACTAATTGAAGGGCCATCTGGTCCTGGTGGGGGCAGTGATTGTTGGGTTGTAATGCATGGAGTCATTGACTTGAAAGTAGTTCCGAGAGTCAAATTGCTGAGAATGCATGACCTCAAAGTTAGACCCTCCTGGCATCAAATTCATGTCCTGTTGCTTTCTTTCATTCTCAGCAATCTGCAGCACACAGCAATGAGGTCCTCAGGTCATTAGTATTTTTATGACTGCTAAATACAAAGACACCGAAACACTGCACACTCACACACACAGGAAGAAAAGAGACAGAGACCTTTGCTCGGAGAAGTTGGTTGTTGTTATGCAAGTCAATTTCCTGCAGTGGACAAATTTATCAACACAAAAGAATAGGTTGTCAGGCAGCCACAGGAAATGGTAGTAATTCCTATATTGCCTTCTTTTGCCAGATCAAGGCATTGTATATCTAAGAACAAAGTACAATTTTATCTGTGGAGGGATTAAATGTAGGGTTTCATACGGTTGGAATGCTAAGTTTCGGTTTAAGTTGGAACTGCGATATTACATAATGCATTTCTATCAGTAATTGACTAAATGGGGCTTGAATTTTCCTTATTTAGACAACTGAATGTCGTTTGCCAGGCTAGCACTAGCAGCAGCTCCACCATTAGAAGCTATAGCTGCTTGAATTTCAGGCTTTGTACTAATCATAAGAGAATCACAAAAATAGACATATATCTAATCTGACACATCACCAGTCTGCAGGGATCACCCCATACCATTCAGATCCCTTTAACTGATCACAGATAAATTGGCATAATTATTGCATTATACACACTCAGGCAATTAATAATCTTCGATTAAATGTGATATGAACAGCAACTTGAGTGTCTAAAACTATTACCTTCTTCTGCATATACTCCATTTCTGCGAACAGCAGCTCATTCTGGCAGAATTTAGAGGAAGAGAGTTAAATGAAAAGGGAAAATTTTGTCAGTGCCAATTCCAGAACTAGAAATAAAGATCACACTTTGCATGGTCATATTGAAAGAATTTTTTTTATAGATATATAAAATATCAGTCACAAAAGAGAGACACCTTTTTGGAACGGATTCTGCTAATCCCTTTTTCTAAACGAGTCTCCAAGTTCTTAAGATCCTTCATAGGCAGTGACCCTAGTGACTCGCCCAGCATATTCCTGGAAACATATATCATTGTCAAAGAAAAGGGTTCCAAAACAGAATCATACATGATGAAGCTGAATGATGACCATAGGAGATAACCTGTTTGAATTCTGCAAATTCCGAATTTGATCGCGTAGTTTGTCAGCTTCTTGCTGGTAGAACTGAGATATACATCCGCATGGCATTAGTTTAACTCATATGATAAATAACTAGAATTCAATGTATACTCTACCACTCTTGACTAAGTATATGAGATTTATCATATGAAAATAGGTTTTTGTACTTGAAGGGGACCTTTTTTTTAATAAAATAACAGTAAACCCACTTGCAGGGTTAAATTCAAAGTAGTTAAGCGAAATGAAGAAGTTTATGGAATAAAGAGGGTTATTTCTTATTGTATAATTCTTTGCACTTCCATATGTGCAAGAGAAAAAAAAGAACAGATAGACTTTATACCTGAGCATTAGCTTCAGAAACTAACCCAGTATTGGCGGAATCAGCAGAAGCCTTCTTGTACCTCTCAATTGTTGTTTTAACACTGCAAGCATTGTTTATTACATTAAAAAAAAAAAAGAAAGAAAATCTACAATCAAGGGACATGTAATACCTCAGCTCAAATGATAATTGAGCTAGACTAATATCAAAGCCTATTAGTTTATTAAGAGATTAATTAGTAAAAGAAAAATAATTGAGATATTAAATAAAAGAAAACCTAACTATCATGAAACAAAAAGGAAATAGGAATTCTTCTTCTTCATCTTCCTTAGGTTAAAAAGCATGAAAAATCAAGTTGGAGATTTGAAATTAGAGGCTACAGTCGAGTTAATTTTCTTAAAGGTAAGTACATGCCATCTTTTTATTTAAGAAATATACCATGTTGGTTGTAATTATTTGGAATTGAAGTTTTGAGAAAAAAATCAAGAAAAATTATAAAATTTTTTATTATTCTTCATGATCAATTTCGATAAATTATTGATTTTTATTTTCTTCGTATTAATAAGATTTAATGATGATTACTAAGTGAATTTTAAAAACTGAAAGTGGAGATTTGAATTTTTAAAGGTTAAAGGAGAAATTTTATTTTTAGATAAGATGTTATTATCTATAATAGTGGATTAAAATAATATTTTATATCAAGAGATTAGATATTGCTATGACTATTATATATCGTTGGAAAGCATGTTGAATATATTTTCTAATGAAATAAACAAAAGTCAAATATGAGTTTTCTATAAAGAGTTGTCGAATTTTTACTTAAAGATATATAGGTTGTATAACAGCATCATCGGGGTTGAATTACGAAAATTATCTTAAATTTTATACAAAGAATTAAGAATTAAGCCATATATGTTTGAAAAAGATATTGAGTCTACTTTCTAACAAAATAAGCAGAATTGAATTTGGAGTCTTCTATGAATAATATGTAATTTTTATTAGAAGGTATATGTGCTATTTGACAACAGCATATGACGTGGATTGCAAAATTTATTATAATTAAACTACAGGGAATTATGAGGTTGGTTGGTTAGAAATCTTATCAAGTCTAGTTTCTAACACATTAAAGAGATCTTAATTTTGATTTATATATATTGAGATATGATTGTTTTAATGAAAAGAGATTAGGTTGCCGGTATTAGTTAGTTGAGTTAAATTTTGTATAACTTTGTTGTTTCAATATATATGATTTAAAAAAGAATTGATTAATTTCTGATATGTTGAAATGATATTTAATAGACTATTAATTATTTTAGAAAAAAAAAACTAAATAATGGAATCGAAAGGACATAAGTAGAATCTTACACACTTATTTTCGAATCTATGTATGTATGTATATTTCTAAATGAGTAAATATTTTATTTCTTTACTTTCAACATATGAAAATAGGATTAAACATATTATTATTTTGTGTTTTTGCTATGTAAATGATGGATTATGCTTATGAATGAAATGAAAAAATGATTATTTTTAAGGAACGATTTTATAATAATTACATTTTTACATCCTTAAAAAGTGAGATAATTGACACTAGAACTAATTCTATGGCCTTAGCTATCTGGTAATAGTAGTTAATATAGACATGATCATATGACTCTACTATTAGGTTATAATAGTTAATGTAAGGTCCTAGCTAGTGGGTTATAATAGTTAACAATGATCATGAGGACGAAATTATGAATACGATCAATGTCATGGGTTATAGTAACGACCATAACTAAAGATAAATTAATGATGATGATGATGATTTTTAAATATTGATATATGATTTATACATGAAGAAGATTTACGATAATTTTTAAAGATTGATTAATAGTTTGGTTTGATTACGGTGTTCAAATGATAGCATATATTGCAATGATTTAAGAATTAACATGTTTTAATGTTGATTTATGATTTACGAAATATTTTACATAATGATAATTTTTGAAATGTTTTGATATTATAATTTAATGAATGTTTTTGAATGATCTATAAGATATATATAAAAATGATGGTTGATCCAATAAAGTATGTGAGTCTATATGTGCTAAATTGTGGTTTGCTCATTCTTTTTTTTTTTCTCCTTACAGATAAGTAAATGATAAGTTTAGTTAGTTTTGTGAGAAGCTAAAAGATCAAAATAGGAAAGATTACTTAGTCGTCAGAGACAATGTTGGCCAATGAGATATTATTAATGGTTTTGCATTTTATATAATTTGTATTTAGATATATAAAAATGTATCATTAGTTGGATTAAAGATATGAATTTTACTTTATAGATTATTTTATTGAAAAATGTTAGAATGATTAAGAAAAAAACTTCGTATTATTTTTAGATTTTACTTCAAGGTAATATAATTGTATTATGTCTTAATTTCTGGGTGTGATAGGATATAATACAAATAATGCTATGAGTGAATGTCTATTTATGACGGATTACTTTCACTTGATTAATTTACTGATTAGTTGAGAAATTAAAATATGTGAATTGTGAAAGTTTTCACATCTCTACACATATATTATACACATCTAGGATTCCATTAAGCAGAAAGATGGCTGCTACCTCAAAAAAAATGTTAAGTGTGAAGGCTTTCATGGATAAAATAGGAGCGCCATGCACTAGGTATTATCCTGTTAAATCTACATTAACATCCACTACCCTAATATTGATGCTATCAAAAAAGAAATGGAATTATAGAACTTCTGCACTTGCATTAGAAACCTAGCTAAATTTAGCAAAATTTTCTTGATGACCTGTATATGACTAAGAAGATCCATTAAACATTCATGAAATGCTTGTTGAGACCAACATTACCAATCTGTGGCAATGTCATTATGATTATGTTCTTAGAATAACTCTCCTGGGTTTGGTTACACTACATATGTGAGCAGAGTTTACAATAACAATTGCCAATTCTTCAGAAAAGGACTAATGCATTTTTTTTATCCTCATAATATCAAACTCTACGCAGGTTTTTCGAGTTGCAATAAACTTAATATTCTTCACATTTCTTCATATATTACCAGAAATAAAATTTGAGTAAGTTGATATAGCAGGCTGATCATGTATATATCTTCTACATAACAAAAGCATGAAGAAATTCAAACAGTAATCGCATAGAAAAATTACACCTTTTGGAAACTGAAAAAAGGTTAAAAAATGAAACATTCAACCAAGTTTTGATCTAAGATAATAGTATCGTGATAGGAACATTATTATCGTTATTACCCAATGGTAGATAGCTGATTATTAAGGTTTGATTAGTCGCAGAGATAATGGTCAAATCAACCAACTTTCTCAGTTAACTGAATCTAATACGAAACCATGAAGCCAAGCTAGTATCATTGTTTATTTATTTGATAAGACCCTAGTCACCCCAACTACTAAAATTTCCTTGATGGATGCCGATACCTTAATTTAGTCGAGCCAGTGATTGGCTGTCTCCGCCATGCTGGCACTGTTCTAACAGTATGATTGGCTCAGAGCATTTCTCTGGCCAGACTTGTGCCAGGTGTCAGAAACCCATTATACAAAGGATAATACTCTAAAGTCAAACGTTATTTTGGTTATTGACTACCTCGTTTAATAAAGAAATAGTGTAAAAATCATGGTTTTAATAATATTTTAAAAGTCTAAAGTAAAAGCCAAAAGAGATTTAATAATAAAATAGAATAGTGATTTTATCAGCTTCTGTCCCTGTCTGAAACTCTGAGTACATCAAAGCCGTATATTTCAGCAGCCATAGTTACATTTTCGCGAAAGTAGCCAAAACCTCAGAACTCTCCCATTGGCTCGCAGTTGTCGTACGTTGTTTCTCTGAAACAACAATGCAGACTTCACTTTTTTCACCCTTTTTTTCCTTTGAAGACTCTCTCTCTCTATCTATCTCTCTCTCAAAACTTGCACGAATATATCTATGCAAGATCTTTAACAAATGCAAACTGCGAAGCTTCATCACTCTATAATGCCAACAGTGAGTCATTATAATGATGACCCTCTCAGCAGTTGGGCTATATTTTCATTGGCTGAATCCACACTCTTTCTTTTACAGAAGCTTTTGTAAAAGAAGTTTTACCCGAGTGAGAAAGAGAGATCTAAGAAGAAAGAAAGAAAAAAAAGGGGCTGTTGGGTGTTTCATCTTTTTCTCATATATAATATAAATTTTGGGTTGAAATGATGAAAAAAAAAAAGAAGAAGAGAAACCTAGTTTTAGAATCATGCCATAAAACCCATTTGTCAGTAGTCAAGAAACTGAAAAAATCGTGTGTGACGTGACTCAAAGATTCTGTAACTAAGACAAAACACCAACCTAATCTTAGTCTGGGGTCATCAAAACCCTAGATGGATTTAACAGTACCAAAAAAAATAGAATAGGGGTGATAAAAAAGAAAAAAGAAAGTCTAAAACTATGTAAAATTTTGTGTGAGTTTGTGATTGGTTGCGGAAAGATTACCTTACTTGATTCAAGGGTTACCGATTAAAGTCTTGGGGCAAGTTGCTAGCCTTATATGGTTAATAATAAAAACAAAAAAAACCCTAACTTGGTTATGTTTGACTGTCAAGAAGGGGGAACTCATGTGGTGCAAAGTGGGATTTACGGAAATTTCGTGTAAGAAGAACCCTAACTTAGATGTGATTGAGTTGAGGCTTTGATTGGGAAGTGATTGGTTGGAAAAGGGAGATTCAACATGTTTCCAAGAGAAAAGAAAACGTAAAAAAAAAAAAATCTGGAATGTTGAAACCCTAATTTGATTTCTTTGATGGGGGGTCTAAATTTGGACAAGTTTCTTTGCTGTTTCTATTATAGTTTCTTTCTGGCAAAGTACTTTTACTTTCTTGATGTTAAACTGACATGCCATCAAGGATGTATGAAGAGAGGTTGGGGGATTTGAGCTAATGGGAGCATGACAGCTTTGTTGTTCCTGGCCCTTATCTGAGCCCCATGGCTCAGCCAAGAGAAAAAGAGAGAAAGGAAACAGAGAATATAACAGCAATGGAGAGGAGAAAGAAGGCTGATCTCACAGGCCTGCAAGCATATAATATACCCAAAACTTATACTATAGTTAATTTGTTACTACCAGAAAACATAATGCTCCCTATTTCTATCTATTGCACCAGATCTATGTATCCACCAAAGTAGAAACTAAAGAAAATATCATAAACTTTGAACCAAAAAAAAAAAAAAAGCCCAAAAGCTTATACAAGTAAAAAGGATAAAATAGATGAAAGAAAGACAAAGTAAATCTTTGTTTGAGAGAAGAGAACTCAACCTAAGCTTTACACAAACATATATAAAAAATAACATAATTTTGCTCTTTTACTTGAATCAACACAAAGATCTGTTGCAAAGCCAAAATCTTCACCCAGTTGTCACCAACATCTCCATTGGCAATTTTCTTTTTCCTTTTTAAAATAAAATTGAAACTGAAAAATCCCCTTTGGACTAAAGTGAAGAAGAGACTTAATGATGAACACAATAAAAACTGAAGGGTTTTTTTTTCAAGAAGAAAAGAGAGGGCTGAGAAGCTTGAGAAATCAATAACAGAGAGCTGAATTTATGTATATATACCTATTATTGGCATACTCATAAAGGCGGCCACGGTTAGAGAAGACAATCAGAGCAACCTCAGCATCACAAAGAACTGATAACTCATATGCCTTTTTGAGCAAACCATTGCGCCTCTTGCAGAAGGTAACTTGACGATTCGTTGTGTTTTCGATCCGCTTGATCTCGATCTTTCCCCTTCCCATTTTCTTCTGGGGAGAGTTCTCACAGGGTTCATTGGGGTTCACCATGATTGCTAACTGAGAAAGAGAAAAATCCATGATAAACAACACAATCATATCTAAAACATCACCAACTGATGATAGTAACATTTACTATCTTCCTTTTAGAAACAGTGTTAAGTTTACAGGAAGACAAAAGTTTGCAAAACTATAAATATTCTTTGAACATATATATGGTTATGAACTGATGATCAAGGAGAGCTAAGAGTGGATGAACCAGGGTATGAAGTGAAATAGATTGATTGAACCCAAAAGAAGTGAAGCAGTGAAAATGATTAAATGGATTATGTTTCAGTTTATAGCCGACTAACCTGGAGAGGAAAGAAAGAAAAGGGCAAGTATGACAATTGAGGGGGGGGGGGGGGAGAGGGGTTAAGGCTTTTCTCTCTTCTTTTCTTTTTTGCTACAAAACTGACCAGAAGAGATGCAGAAAAAGGAAGCAGGAAGGGTTGAGAAGTTTCTATTTATAAAAGTAAACGACTACCTCTACAGAATATCATCATTTATAAATAAAAACCAGCTAATAATCTGCCACTTATAATACGACAGTATATCTTTTTTATAGTATTTGGTTTTGGTTTTTTCTTCTTCTTCCTCATCTAAATGGTGTATTATACTAAAGCTGAAGGAATAAAAAGAAGGTAAAAGTTGGGAATCATCATTTGTCAGGTTCAGACTCCATTAACCATTGTTATTATTATTTTTTTTCTTTTCTTGTGAATTAAAGGAGGGCATCGCATGAGAGAGAGAGAGAGAGAGAGAGAGGGACCTTTTTAAAGGGATTATTATTAATGGTGGCGAATGAGACGTTGGGCTAAGTTGCAATCAAAAGGATATTTTATGCAAATGAAAGGAGAGAAATTACAAAGCAAACAAAAGCACAAATGGGAACTCTCATTGTCTGTTGATCACTATTTTCCATTCATTCTTTTTATGATTCTTTGAGTTATAGATAGCTTTTTTTTGTCATTTTTTCTTGTAGAAACAAAAGAGATTTTTATCATTAATTTATACTCTTCTTGTTTAAATTTTGTGTCTTATATACTTTTAATTTGAAGATGTGTCTAAAAAATTTTTGTTTTCCTTGTTTAAGCTTTGAAGTGAGTTTGAACTTCCATTTTTCTAATGTTTTATGCTTTTGGCTTTTGAACATAAAAAACATTGATACTCATAATTTTAGCGCAAATTGTTCAAATTTTCAAGTTAAAAATATTAAAAAATTTATAAAATTATCTACTATTTCATCTAAGTAAAGTAAAACATTTAATTTGGTTTAATTTGAACTGTTTCCAGCCTAATTTATTGAGTAGTAAAGTTATTTATGATCGAGACACCAGGGCCTGTTTCTGCTTGGTTTGGACAATGACTTTTGAGACTGAGCTTGACTCAATCAAAATAATCAGTATTAGTATTTTGGGATTAATACAAATACTCAATTAGGCATTGGAAAAACTCAACCAATTACTATTAAAATTTATAGTAATAAAATTAAAGAAAAACCTTTTTCTCTTAAATAATCACATGGACATCAAATATAAAAACAAAAAAAATATTTTTTTGTCTAGGATCCTCCGGTGCCCGGTAGTCACTTTGGGCTCCGACTAGTCTAAAGTTGAGTCGGATTTGACCTTATAATGAGGGCAAGCTTTTTTAGGTTTGTTTTTTTTTCATTCACAAGACTTGAAATTGAAACTTATGAAGAATCGAACTCATTGTCACTCAGACCAAAAGCGTTGGTTAAAAAACAAACAACAACAAAACAAAAAAAATATTACTAAATGTATTAGTTTGCCTTTCCTCATTTTGTTAATTAGTTTTTTTTCGAAGATTAAAGTTTTTTCTTTTAAAAATTAATTCTCATATCATAAGGTTAAATCAATTTAAACCCAAACTAATTACATGAGTTAGATTGTAAAATTAATCGATATCTAATAAATATCTAATAAATATGAGATTTAAATTTGAAGAAACCTCCTGTTAAGGTATTAGTTATGACCAAAGATTAGAGATTTAAACCTCTTCAATTAGGCACATTGGAAAAAAAAGTTACCATCGAATATTTGATCTTTTATAGGTTTCAACATTCATTCATGCATCCATGATCGTCTTTCCTTTCTCGTTTTAATATTTGTTTTTGTAAGGAATGTCCTGCATGGTGAAAGTCTTGTTGTATCAATAAAGTAATGGTAAAAGGGAATTATGACTTCCATGAGACATCGATTTCGATTATATAGAGCTCATTGATAGTACATAATTTGTTTTTTCTTTTCTTTTTTTTTTCTTGTTGGTACGAAAAATATTGTAATTTAAATATAAAAGAAAGGGGTTATAATTATTGGGATTTAAATTTTAAATATGTTAGATATTATTTTTGGTGAATTTACGTTTCTTGATATGTATGAAGCACGAATTGAAGAGGTGAAGATGAAAATTTTTTAATTTAATGGTTAGATTTTATATTAACTTTGTTTTTCCTTTTTAGCTTAACTATTTATTACGATTTTTTTTGGTCTTAATTCCTGCTTTTTTATCATTCTTACCGAGCAAAGCACATGCCCGTGAAGCTGAAGAATCGATGTCTTTTCTTGCTCTATAATTTGGCGTATGAGAAACCTTCTCAAAATTCTGAGAGCACTTTCTATTAATGGCTTCAAGTCTAAACGTTCACATTCCTAAAATAGAAAGGCTGCAGCAATTATGACTTGTCTCATTCGTCAAAATCTCTTTGTGGGGTCTCAGCAAGAAAAATCTTCATCGTATCTACAGCAGGACCACATCGACGGCAACTATGGCCTTTTCTCTCTTTCTTCACCTCAATTGTAAGGATGTCAAATGTATGAACCTTATAAATATACTGTGGAATAAGATTTTGGCTAATCAAACGAAGGGAAAGGCTCAAATGCCTTCCTTGATGTGATAATTGTTTGACAGAAAGCGGAAAAGGGGAGAGAGAATAAGAGTTTCGGCCCCTGTTGAAAACGTATACCGCCGGACTAATTTTGCCAAGATCAAAAGTCACAAATTGATTGATATGCCTTTAAGCAATTCACTTGATGATGGCTAGCTGTGTTTAGGGTTGGTAATAATATCTGAACCCATAGGGTTTTGATTTGATAACTATATAAGATTTAAAAAAAAAAAAAATCAAATTTTAGGTCTAATCGAATTTTTTGAAATAAAGTCAAGATTGAATTAAGTCAGATTTGAGTTTTAGATAAACCCACCACACCCTGATCCGTCCCGATATATATATAAATATCTTTATTATTTATTTAATTATGTATTATATTAATAAAATTATTATACAATAATTTAATTTAAGATATTAATTTAATACAAATACTATATTTATGTATAATTAAGATATAATTTATACTAAAAAATATTTTATAAATATTATATTAAATTAATTTGAGTTCAATTGAATCGGATCTTTTGTGATTTTATATATACGCAAGCTGGGGTTGGGTTTGAAAAAAATAATACTTTAATGTCAGATTTTGATATTTATTTTATAAAATAAGATAGGGTTCAGGGAGACAAAAATCCTCCCCGACCCATTACCATACTAGGTGTGTTTCGCAATAATAGCATAGACCAAATGGAACAATCAAAGCAAGAGGTTTAACATGTTTAGCAGAAAAAAAAGAAAGTAATTTATTTGTTGGTTTGCTTATTTTTTTTTGTCATAAACAGTGGACTTAGTTCCAATTCATACCTGCATGTGTGTTGAGAAATTAACATGGGGGGATTGATTTTCTTTAGAGGAGAATGTTACTATAAGTTTATACTCGATCGTTGACAAATTGAAATTGTACAAATTATGCAATTGCAGCTAAACATTCGCTCTGATATATTTGGGGACCACAAATTAAGCAACATTTTCAATACGTTTGATATTGAATGATTTATGAGAGGTGAACACTTTCAATGCATAGACCTAATCCCATAAATGCAATTCCAGGCAGTCACCATCTCACCTTCTTTCTTTCTTTATTTGTTTTCTGTAAAACCATGTCTTAAGTAATAATTTGTTGGCGATTGACAATTGAACTAACAACTCATTGTTGTGTTTTATCCGGCCATTAATGTTGTTAGACTAAAGTTAAATATTGTTTTCGCAAAGTTTTATATTAACGTGGCAAATTAAAAATTTGAGTTAATAACGATTCGGAATGCTTTGAATCCATAACCAATTAAGGTGGCAGTTTTGATTGATCAGCACAGTAGGAAATGAAAAACATAGATGATTAATGAACTGTTTCATCCAGAACCAGAAGATTCTGTTTCGATTAGTTATATGGTACCATAAGTTGAAATTGTGTACCTGACAAACTCATTTGGATTGATTCCATGCTGGGACAATTCAAGATGAAGTCAGCTTGGAAAGCTATCCACTCGGTGGATGAGATTTTTTGGTTGGGGGCACATGCAAATGAGTCCCAGAGAAGCACTAAGTGGCTATATATCTGGTCAGCTCCACCATCCCAGGTTCTTAAAATAAACACCGATACAGCTTTTGATGTAAATTCTGAGAATTTAGGACTTGGAATGATGATTAGAGATGCAAATGGTTTGGTGTTGTTGAGCACAATGACTAGAGTAGAACGGGTAGTCAGTTAGTCCCCTTCATGCGGACGTAAAGGTGATTCTTTCTGGATTGGGACTGGCTTTCGATCTTGAATTTAAGGAACTGATAATGGTGAGTGACTCAGAACTGACGATTAATGTCATCAAGTTCTTTTGTATTATGTTTATTTGTTTGTAAAGTGATTTATATGACATTGATGGCAAATTGACAATTGGCAATAACCAATTTGTACTATAAAGATCCCACAAGGAGCGTCCTACATTAATCAAGTTGTGGCCCCTTAGGATTATTAAAGGCAATTCCCAATCTAGATACTATGCTACCAAGCTTTTTGAAATTGTCTTGGATGAGTTCCAGATTGTATTCAATAATATGAAAGGTATGTTCGGCATACTGATTTTTACATTTTATCAGAAATTAATGATGCTGAAGCCAATGAATAATCAGTGGGTGGCTAGGGTTTCAGTCTGACTTCAACAGTACAAAATTTCATTCAGCCATTCAGGGCCCCCACATGATCAGTTGCTGGCAGAATTCTAAATGAAGTTAAGCATTAAAAAAAAAAAATTGGTGGCCATGGCTTTCATCTATATTGAAAATCTGCTTTAAAGAATCCAGAAAGTCTATCATCTCATTTGTTGGTTTTAGAATTTTGAGCAAATATTTCAATGCAATGAAAATGTTTCTCTTTTTTCAGTTAATTATACACTAACTTGGAGTAATCAAGGAAAGTCAAAACTAAGAAAATTCCAGAAAAAAAAAAAGGAAAAATTAGAAATTCCATTTTCAAAAGAACATAAAACGAAATATGCATTTTTTTTTTTAAAGAAAATTAAAATAGATAGAATTGTTAATTCATTGGAAAACGATTTGATTTGATTAACTGGATATTGCATGGTTACACGCAAGGCTTGGAGTTGTCAGCGTCTTGAACCGAAAAAGAAAGTGATAAGAAAGTGATGGGTTTACGTTTTAGCCATGCAAATTTCATTAAACTGTTAGGTATTTGTTGATCAATACCAAATTATCAATACAACAATATTTCTTATTGTCATAAATGACTGCTCCATGAGATCTTTGTAAACTTCACTTTCACGAATAATAATAATAATAATAATAACAACAACATTCAAGGTTTGGTTCGATAATTAATATTATTGTTTAAGAAGATTGAGATTCAAAGTTGAAATTCTCAACTCCACTTTATTTATGTATTTATTTTAATTCAATTGATTAAATAATTAAATATTCAACAAATTTAATATTTAAATTTCAACATGTATAACTCTCTTTCTTATTTTGAAATTGCTACCTCCTTTTATATCAAATGAATATATATAATTTTCATGAATAATTAACACCCAACAAAATTTCTTTTCAAAAAATACCAAACATTCCACAAAAATTTTACCCATTTTAACAGCAGAGACATCTTTTTGACAATAAATGAGAATGTGAATGATGATAATTTATTAGGCCCAACAGGGCAAGTATGTCCTAGACCAACTGGTCCAACACTTTTTTTTTTTTTTTCTTTTTTGTTGAGAATTTTGCTGGCTACAAAGTACAACAAATGTTTGAGATAAGTCTTTTAAGAGCCATTTTTCCGTTAGAAATTTAGAATTGATATTATTTCGAAAACAAAGGTAAAAATCAGAGATCCACCATTAAGCCAACTATCCTTAGTGTACATATTTAATGGAAATGTTAAAATTTGTAAAAATTTGGATTATGATAACATATTTAATGGAGGGATAAAAATGTAGTTCTCAGCCCACAATGCAAAGGGAGAGAATAAATCTGAAACATATCAAATTCAATGACTAGAAACAAATTAGCATAGAAAAAGAATGCCATGCTCCCGGTTACAATTTGATCTTCTAGCCAACGAACTGAAAAAGTGATTGTAAAAACTCATATGCTGCCGGTAGAACGAGATGAACAGCTACAGCTGCTTGGACTAGAGTGATCTTTCTTCAGCATTGCCTCCAGATTTTGAAAGCATTTTAATGGCCTAACCTGCACGTATTGCAAGCACGCGTAGAGAAAAAATTATCAGCCTAATGGTAAAAGATAAGCCTACCCATGAACCAACATCACCCTGGACTAATGACTTAGATCCGCTAGCCAACCAACAACAGGTAATTTGGAAACTTTTGGTGACAGTGAAACTCAATGTACACGCATATTTCGATCATAACTTCTGACCTTTCATTTGGGATTATAATTTATACAGCATGAATTAAGAAGCTGATACCGTCAACACAATTTCAATAGCTATTTACCTTTTTCTTGATAACAGCCTTCCAATATGAGTGCCTCTGATGGCAATATGTGTGTGAGAGATTAGCAGAAGGGAGCTTGGGAGAAAGAGAGAGGATACCTTCCAATGCTTTTTATGACCGAAACTGATGTGAATGCATTCCAGTTTTGTTATAATCTGTCTGAACGTTGGTCGCTTAGCAGGATTCTCATTCCAACAATCCTCAATTAACCTGTACAGAAGCATACCATTAATATATCTTTTATATATTATCAGGCCCCTAGATACATTAATCATTCTGACACAGAAATACAATTACTGATATGCTAAAAGCTAATTCACAGAATGGAAATTTCTTCAAAAGATTACAGATACCTTCACGTTAGCACATCCTTTCAGAAAAGCCTAAGGTATTACATTTTGGAAGAGCTATGAAAAACATGTGTATTCGTCTGGTGCCATAACAAAGTGCATGTAATTCAAACTAAGAAACCAGAAACCACAATGCTAAAGTCCTCAAAATAGTATAGAAAGTTAAAAAACAGGAGCAAAATTACTCTTTATTGAAGAAGACAAAATGTAGGTACTCACTCTTTAAGCCCATGGGCATAATGCTTGCCTGAAGCTTTGAAAGGCGGACGGTTCCCTGATGCATATGCCTTAGGAACTTCATTTTCTTGCTTTGTAGAAAAGGGTGGGTAGCCTTCAATCATCTAGCACATTAAAATCAATTATCAAGGCTGTTGTGATCATTAGACTTTGTCAAAGAACAAAAAAGAATAAAAGGAAAAACAAATAAAAAACAGAAAAACACACACAAGAAAGGGGATTGAGCGAGGCCATTGACTCAAAACTTCATTCATTTATTGAACATATGAGCTGAAGCCAAAAATTTACCTCCTGGAGTATCAGAGCAAACGAAAACACATCCACTTTGGTATCATAGTCATCATTTTTGAAAACCTCTGGAGCAACATATCGGTCTGTGACAATAACAACCAACATGTTTCAGCTTAAAGAGAAAAGAATTTGTTAAGTACAAAATAGTCCTAGATATCCAAATAATTTAAAAAAAATGACTGCTTAAATATGTAAAATAGCATGAATGGGCATAATTAGAACCAAATAGATATAGAACTCACAAGATGTCTCTAGAGAAGTTAGAGGTTTATCTTCTTTAACTGTGAGCAGCTTGCTAACTCCAAAATCTGCAACTTTAAGATGTCCAGAGTCATCCCGCAAAATGTTTCTGTTATGTCAATTGCAGGCACATAAAAAGTGCTGACTTTTAGAAAATTAAGGCGGACAACATGACTTTTATACAATCCTAAAGCTATTTTTTTATTCATGGATATATATTTGTTGGGAAAAGGATAACCATCTGAACAAGAAAACTTACGAAGGCTCAAGATCACGGTGAATTATTGGCACTGGTTTATTCTCATGCAAATAATTCATTCCCCTGAGAAATTGCGGAGGATATGTTAATGATCTTTCAAGTTCAGCTGTGAGAGACTAGCAGACAGCAAAAACTTCCATCAACTAGATCATGCATTGATCAGTTCCATTTCTCCCACCAAACTCTAAACTTAAGTTTTGTAGTGATCATGTCAACTATAATCACCTAAGATCAACAAGCGCAGCCTTATGAGTCAGCACCAATTTTCTCTCTACACTAGTATATCATCATTTTGTAGCTTTTACATTCACCTATCATATTCCTGACAAAGATAGCATACCATGTAACTAAATATCTACTCACATACAATTAGCAGTAACTCTCAAATCAAAGTTGACATTTACTGTCCATTTATGATAAGGAAAATAGCCATTTGTTAATGCAGGATACTCAAGCAGTAATTTATCAAGTCCACTGCAATAAAACAGTAACAAACCTTGCAATATCAAGTGCAAATCTCACAGCTGTGATTGGTTTCAATGCTCCTTTTATTTTCAAAAATGCTCGTAAATCTCCCTGCAAAATAAGCAGTGAATTAATATTTGAAAAGCCAACTCCTAAAACAAATAAGCTTAGCACTATATTTTACAAAATCCTACTACTTATCTGCAATTCCGAATCAATGAATTGGAAGAAAACAAAACTAAAACAAAGATCTGGCATTGCAATTCCAAATCAATGAATTACTCAACATTTCATTCACAACTAAAAGAATTCATAGCAACCCAAGTTCACAACAAGTTGAAATAAACTCAGCAACCCAAAAAATGAGACATAAGTAATGATTCATAGAGAGACCATAGATGCTATGATAGCAAATAAGATAATGGAGTTAAACCTTGGGTAAATATTCAGTCACAATCATCATGGGACTACTTTGAGTAACTGCACTAAGAAATTGGACTACATTTGGATGTCGAATTTTCTGAAATAATGCAAGCTCATCTCTAAATGCCCTCCTGAAAAAAAAAAAAAATTATATCATACTTTATGGGAATAAATGGACCCAGCCTGGTCCAGTGTTTCTCTCACCCAAGCCCGTCCCCCACCCCCACCACTAAAAGAAATGGAAAAAGTGGAAGAAAACCTTCAGTTTATGGACAACTTACACTTTATCCTCATCAGCAATAACATCATCCCCAAGCTTTTTTACAGCAACTTGAGTTCCACGCCAGGAAGCTATACAAAAGGTTCCCTGCAATTTATTCATAGAGACTGCTTAGATCAGCCGCAGCTAAGAGAATTGAAGATGCTTATGGACAGACTCTTCAGATTATGAATTGACTGTATGCAACACGAAGTTCCAAAACAGTCTAGTCTTTAGTAGTCACTTTGCTCAAAGACTTGACTAATTGGCTTTCGTGTATCTCTCATCAAACATGCATTCCATAAATAACATAAGTCTTTCCTCTATTCAACAAAAATATTATCTTTTACTGGTCATCCACCGATTCCCCGTTGTCTGCTCAAACTTATCACCACAACAGAGCAAACAAAATAACTTACAGTGCAACAATCGAGCCACTATTTTAAAAATTCCAAGCATTGTTCACAAACTTTGATCAGCATCATCTTAGACAAACAGGTCGAATGCAAAATTGTTTCCACCTTATCGATGTAATGTGGCCAATATTAGCTACTTCCCAAGATTTCAATAATTCCCCAATAAAACTAATCCTATATATAATTATGATTTCAAATGTTATGATATCATGATCAATTACCTTGGTAATGTGGACACTGTTAGTAAAATCAAGTTCTTTTGGATCAATTTCATATTCTGGGACCTCACGCGCGTGTTTTACATGCATTGGAGCCATCTATAACCAAAATTCAACAATCAAAATCAACAAAAAATCAGCAAAAACAAATTAAAAAAAAAAGATTTCCATAAGGAAAATGCAAAAACTTACCAAAAGCTTAGCTCCATGTTTCTCCAAAAGCTTAATCACATCGTGATTCTTATAATATATAGCATCCGCCAAAGGCTATTTAACCAAAACAAAAATATATATTAGAATTTTTTTTAAAGAGCAAAATAGGAGGCAATTTTGGTTTTTACTTACAGTGCTTCCCCAGCGATCTTTAGATTCGACGTTGGCGCCACGTTGAAGGAGCAAGGAAACGACGTCGGCCTGTCCTTGACAAGCGGCAATATGGAGAGCCGTCCGATCATCGATGTCTCGGAAATTAACGTTGATCCCCGAGTCCAAGAGCTCGCGAATGCCGTCCAAGTCACCTTCGTTGGCTAAGTACATCAACCTAACTCCATCTATCTCTTCTCCTTCCTCTTTCCCTTTTCCATCCGATTCGTCTCTGTCTCTTTCTGGTGCCATCGACGATTGCTTCCCTAACTTAAACCTCACCGCCGCTTTGTTTTCCATTAATTTTTTTTTAAATCAAGAAAAGATTACTACTTTTCTTCGTAAATCCAAAATAATTATGATATTTAATTTGATTAAAATCTTAATTAAAAAATTAGAATCTGATGAGAGTCGAGAGAGAAAGATTTTGGGGAGGTTTTAAAGAGAGTTAACAATGGAAAGGAAATGAGAAAGCTCGAACGTCGGTTGTTGAAGCTTCATTGGTAGGTAACATCGCGGACTTTCTTCTATGGGCTGTGGCATTCACGTGCTGTTGACGCGTGAGGGAAATTTAGGCGATATGGCTCAGGATAAGAGATATTTGACTAACTTACGCACAGGAGTTAACGGCGCACCAGACAAGGCCAACAAAGAAACGACGACTTTCGACTTTTGATTTGGATAATTTGGGGAAAGGGTCAACAATCGGGTGCGTTGATGAATGATCGGACGGCACTGAGAAGGCTAGCTTTGTGGGGTCCACATAATTTAACGGGGTAGGAGATTTGATTATCGTACAAAACACGATGTCGTATTATACCTTTATTAAATTATTATAGCTCTTCTGTACCACGTGACCAACTGTTTTCTGTGTGGTTTGGAAGTACGGATATGGGACAGTTGGTGTCTGCTCAAACTTTTTACTTTTCAGCCGGCCTTTGAAAAAATTGTTGCTTTGTTTGAAACAGCCTCACCAAAAAAGAAAAAAAATTTTGGATATGGCAGAAATGATTTTTTTTTATAAGAAAATTTAGGTAAATATGATGTTCAGCTTTTCATATCAAAATAAAATATGTTATATTTAATAATTAAAAAATATATATTTAAGATAATTTTAATAAATAATATCAATAAATTTAAATATAAAATTTTTTATTAAAAAAATAAATTTTAATATATTAAATCAATCATTTATTGATAAAATGATTGATGTTTGGAGATACAAAAGTTTGAACATAAACATAAAGTGTTAGAGATTTAAAGGCTTTCTTGTTTTTTGGTGAGGGTATAGGCTTGTTATTATCATATATTTTGCTTTCATTTTTTCCTCGAACAATTCAAAATTTGTCCCACTTTCAGGTCATTTCCTTCATCTTGCATGTTCGAAAGTTGAATATCATGGCTTGAAGAACAAGTCACACTGTTTAAAGTTGCAAGTGGGATTTGATTAATGGATAGATGCTTTTGGATGCCCTTTTTTAAGCTTTTTTAAAACCATGGTAAGGGAATTGAAAAAAGCAGAGTGGTATTTGTGAAATCAAGACGGCGTTTTGACTAAGTGTGGTAATTGGATAAGGTTCGTTGTCCATTCAAGCTTATTCATGATCATCCTTAGAAAATAAAAACAAGCTGTTTGTGTTGACTGTTAAACATGGCCTTATGTCATTCACAACATGTGATAAAAAAAAATAAAAGGATAAGTATCACAAGAAAACTTACTGGATAATCTGTTTTACATGTTTGCAGAGTATAGTTCTTTCCTTGTAGCCTTCCTGATAGTTGAAATTAGCAATGGGAATCTCTTCAACCATCAAGTTATTTTTACAGTTTGAACACATTTTGGGATCATTCTTTTCTTTCTGGTTGGGTTATATTCAGTCCAATGATTATCCAACTGTGTTGGGTGCTTTACCTCAGGAAAAAGTACGCAGAAAAGCTAGCTATTCCAGGATCCAAGCGAGGTCAAGCTGTGAACAACCTCTGTTACAACTTCAACGTAATTGGATAAAAAATTTGAACTTGGATTTGTGGAGATTCATATTCCCTGTTTGTTCATTAATAACTAATTTCCACTTTAGTCAATATTTTCCAGCGAAAGTTCATTAATATAGATCATGAATAAGGAGTTTTGAGAGTTGAATTTTGTTAGTTTTCTAGATCTATTGTAATAAACGATGTATCAGTCTTCCAATTGTCAACAGAACGCTTGATAACCATGCAACTTCATCCAATTTAGACAATCAAATGAAAACTCCTTTTATTCCTTTCATATATTTTTCTCTTTTCCATTCTTAAATACTATAAGTTTAGCCATATTAGATGGGATGTTTTACATGCTTGCCCTTCCGGGTTTTGTTTTCTTCCAACTAATCAGAAACCATATCAGACAGATAATTTTTTTGACATGTTCTCTGATGCCTTGCCTGCATGCACAAGTCATCTAATTATTAACTGATAATGTCGATTTTAATCATAATCACATGCTACCTATTAAGGGAAACTTGCTCCATAAGACCAGTGCTTCTCTTCTTTAAATTAATTAGGCATTGGTTTAAGCAAACTTTTATTGAACCCCAACAAACAAAATAGAACACAACCTATAGTATTGAGTATGCAAATAAGTAGCAGCAGCAGGCCTACTTGGAAATTGCCTAGATTATTTATGGCTAGCAGCAGTTCTCAAGGTATGCAACCTTAAAAACGTCTAATGATCGATAACATATGCATGGCATCATCATCATAACTCGTAGTTACTCAGAACCAGCACAGATAAATTATTATTCATTACATGGTCAGTCTTGTTACAACCTATATCCGTTGTAAGAAAGGAGATTATGTGGTAAAATCTTATTAGGTGCTATTTGCACTAGCTTCGGAAGAGAAAGAGCTAACTGGGACTGAGGTTGCATTCAGCAACTTTCTCCCAGGATTTGAGAGTTTTGTCCTCAGTATCTGTCTTATACAATGCAAGGCGACTTATCTGGAAGCTCAGACTACCAACGCTTTTATCAAGTATATTAGCTTTTTCTTGAGCTTTCTTCTTCTTTCTTCTGTCAGGTCAGCATAAAGGAGGCTCAAATGTGGCATGTATGCTACAAGGAAATAGGAGTATTTGTCAATCCAATAGAATGAATGTCATGGTAGAAGGAAAAGAATAAATATTTGATCCTCCTATTAAATTGAAATTTAAAGATGATCACTTAAGCTTTGTTTTGATTTAGAAACCTCAATTTCAATTATCAGATAAGGATCATAGTTTCTGTCAATTAGAAAATAGTTAAAGACAAACACGAATTATTTACAACAGCTCACACAACAACTGGCCAAACTAAAGCAAGGTGACGCAGGACAGCTTGGAGGGGCTAGGGTTTTAAGCTAAATTATAATCTGAAATTCTTAAGGAAGTAGGCAAATTGAACAAATAAAAGAAAAACAGAAAAGAATGATAACCAAAGCTTCACACATAGGGTTCCTTGATTGCATTATGCAACCAAGAAGAAATAGAACCTAAGTAAATATTACAATTAGACCCACAAATACAACAAGAGTAACAAAATAAAATCATAAGTAAACTAACTCCTCAATTAGCTTATTGTTGTTCTGCATCACAAGGACATGGATTCAGGTATACTACATCAAGTTAACAAATGACTTTCTTTTGCAAATTGAGTATGTGCATTTAGGCACAACATTAAAGAACTCACACAAGTTCAACATATGCATTTTGCAGTTTTAGAAATTAGTGGAAAGATGCACCAATAAATAACAATATGTTAAACTAACCCATTTAGCCCATTTTGCCTCTTCTTAACACCACTGGACCTCTTTCTCACTTGCTTTTCTTCCCCTATCAACAGAACATTTCTAGTAACTCAAAATTTTATCTTTACTTGCTTAGTTACTTCACATTCCATAATTCTAACCATCTCTGCAGCTGAATTATACCAAAACCTCAGAGTAATATTTAGAAATTTATTCCCTTGAAAACTTTACAAGAAAGCAGCAACGATTTTGATTGACAGCTTTCCAGGTAACCATGATCGCTAAAATCACCTAACATAGCTGCGGGTTAGTCTAATGAATTTCAGCATTAGCAAGTGCTAAGTTATTGAAATTTTGGGTGCCTAAAGAAGTGCCTGAAAGAAAAAAGAAGTGTTCTAAAATATGAATGAATATCTATCCCATTGGCACATGATACCCTGATCATAACATTGCCAAAGATGTTAAGACAAAAGGCAACACTTTAAAGAAGTAACAACTTACGTGTGGAACTCTTGTAACCAAAATGGCCAGTACAATGTGCACTAGCTTCCACCACCTGGAAGAACAAATAAGAACTCTTACTTCAACTACTTCATAAAAGAACTGTGCTTTGAATTTTTATAAATTGAAGGAAACCCAGAGAAATAAAATGAAATGGGAATTACCTCGGGAGTGGGGTGAAGCAGCAAAAAGACGCACTGGTAAAAGAAAGTTCCAGTGGCTACACAGTCGACGGAGGCATTATAAGCCCTAAGCCCATCACAGGCTGACCTGAACTTAGCCAACGCATCATCAGCCGTTAAACTGATGGCCCCAACAACCGTGACGTGGGGCTGGAACTCTGGCCCACCGAACTCGCATCTTAAACCTTCCATCAACTTCTTCACCCGGGCAGTAACGTCTTCCGGTGGAAGTGCCCACACCGAATACACATCTTTCTTAACTACGGCTTCTGGGGTTCCCATGAAGGTGAAAGAGGTGGAACTGAAGCAAGAGTCAAGAGAGCAATTAAAATGACGGGTTGGAATTGGAAGGCTTTTCGAGATAGAATTTGGGTTTTTGAATATGCAGAAAAAATGGATTTTGGATTTAAAAATGGCAACTTGGGCAAGGTGACCCATGGGAAGAGCATATTCTCTTATGCTTCCAGTGGAGGCCCTGGCATCTGATGCCACGGGATAATGCTCCAGAAATGTATTGAGTAATTTTTTTAATTTTTATTTTTATTTAAAGAAGAATACATTTGCTATTACTATACTGGAAATAAATTAATAATAATAATAATAATAATAATAATATACTTGAAATAATTAATAATTAATGATAAATTATTAATAATATGGAGCACACTTGACAATAATATGGTTGCACGAGTGATTCTCATATCTGTTTAATAAAAATATAATTTTATCATTCAAAAATAAATTTTTTTTTTTCAAATAAGATATTTGCTTGCTTGATTAAAAATAAAATAGTCATTCAACGAATTTTTTTATTAAATAAACTGGTAAATGATTAGACGCCCTGAATTTCATTTTAGTAAATCTTCTTTTGATTATCTCATCAGTTATGTTAGGTCAGGTCAGTGACACTTCACGATATGATTCAGACTGCTTTCACTCGTAAAGATCCAAGTTTCATTGCATTCTTATTATCACTACCGAAACATTAGGAGCCTTGGCAAGATTACTTTGGGTGGAAAGGGAGCATGATTTGAGGATCACTCGTCGCCAATTTTTCAATGGAATCCCAAAACACCGACGAAGAGGACCAGTTCTTCGACGCACTCGACGACTTCCTGTTTTTCGATTGCCTTACCTTCAACCAATCAGATCCTTCCACGTCTGATTTATCATCTACCCTCCATCGTCTCGCCGTCTCTCGCCGAGTATTCTCCTCCAAGGAACCCGGATATTCCTTTCTAGAAGCGTCCACCCTCGAAGACCGTTCGAAAACCAGTTCTAGAGACCCAAGTTGTAATCCTTACCGCGATTTGAAGGCAAATGACGATACTTTCGAGATAACCGAGTTAACTCGTAATGGACTCAACTCCACCTGCGTTATAGACGAGAAATGCGACGTCGAATCCACGGTCACCACCGCGACAAATGATGAATTGGTTGACCGAGCCCGAAATTCGGTCTTCTCGGGCACTGAACTTAGTAAGTCACTATGCTCTTCCTCTAGTTTGTTGGTGTTTATAACTGGTTTAGTGATAAAGGCAATCGGGTTTCAGTTAAATTTTCTAATAACCTTCATTGCATTACCTCTACCAGTGTTTAGTTGCTGCTACATGTTTATTATTGATCCTTTTGAAGCTTTGAGGCATGGTAGAACTTATACAATCACAAAGTTGTTAAATTTAAGGAATTCGACTTGTGGGTATTTTAGTCCTTTGATGTATGAGTGGTTAAAGGATTATAAATCTATATAGAACCTCTTGTTTAGATTCGGGTGGGAATGCTGTGGGCTACATATGTAGGCTGTGTTTTATGTGGGTTAATGGTTACTTCACTTGTGATTGGTGGGGTTTGGATGAGGTATTTGGTGGAGGAACCATTGGAGATAAAGGAAATGTTGAACTTTGATTATACTAAGAGCAGTTCGGTTGCATTTGTTCCGATTGTATCTTGTGCTGCTGTTGGTTTTGGTGTGAAATGCATGGAGAAGATAGATGTTGGGAAGAATGAGGGTTCCCGAGTCTTACTGCCAGATCATAAATTGCAGGTTACTGTTTCTTTGACGTTGCCAGAGTCAGTACAACAGAAATCTTAGGATATTCTAGGTATTTGGTTGATTTATAGAATGCAGAAGTTGCCATTATGTTATGTTCAAATTATTTTACTTCTGTTCATTTGTGTTTTATGTTTCTTATCTATAGGTCAATTTGGGGTTTTTTTAGGTTGGTTAAGTTTTAGGCTGACATTCTTTACCTTTTAATATACTCATTGTTTAAATTATTAGATGAAGTAATTTGACCTAGGAAGTACATAAATTATCTTGTTGTTGGGTTTGGAGTGTCTGTCAACCTTACTCATTGAGTGAATGGGTTATTATTTGCGTAGGGTAGCAACCACTTGAGCTGGGGAAAATTTATAGCCAGTATATTTGCATTAGATTATAGCATTTCTAACCTCATGATTCAGGAATAATTGGAGTGTTCAGTTGATGCTTTTTATACTAGCATGTTCTATATTAGTGGCAGCCTGTTACTATAAGAGAGTTATAGAATAAGTTGGATGATATTCTGGTGATTAATCATTTGCATAAGTAGCATGAACTTAAGAGCCCTAGACCACTTGCTTCTGCTCTCCAACACTAAAATTTTGAGTGTAAAGGTCAGTTAAATTTTGATATATTCTTTTTTCCTGAACATTTCTATTCCATATGTACTAAAAAACATAATATAGTGATTGAGGCTGATGATATGTTGGCTGAAACCTGAGTCTAGAAACAGGGCTATGAAAGTTTGATAACAAGGAAAGGTGGCTGTTTTATAAAAGGTGTTTCTTCCTGAGGTGATTTTCATTTACCTTTACCAAATTCGTATTTGATGAATGCTAGTGTAACTTTTTTTTGAAGGTCATGGTGGATTTCCTGTCTCTTAATGGTGAAACGCATGCCAGGTCTAGCCATCCATGCATGCTGAAATTCAAAAGTGAGCCAATCCGCCTTCTGCTGACATTCTTCAAGGTTGCTCCTCTAGTCACTGGCTATGTTTCTGAAGTGCGGACTTTGAATCTGAAGAATAGAGGTTTGAACAAAGGAATTGTGCCTACTGCTTGCTTAAGGGTAGTACTTGAATAACGAGCAGAGTACAGGCCGGGTGCTGGTATTCCTGAACCGTGTGATGCTTCCCTCATCCTTCAAGTTAGAACTTCCTTTTATCAAAAGAATTATATGGTATTGGAAAAAAACTATATTTATATGGCTCAGCATGACATCATTTACAATGGAGTTACTGTTTACTTTAGTCTGTTGTAGACCTATACATTGCTCATTCCAAGAACCAGGATAAGAGATGGTTCTGCGTGCCAACAGCAGGTCTACTCCGAATAGATTGCTAGCACAGATTTGAAGCACTGCAGAGTTGACGATAATGATGCAATTAAAGATATACCTTATGTTTGATCACTTAAATTTGGTAGGGCACCTTAACTTTATTTTTCCACCTATTATTTAATTTTTTCAACCCTGATGTGCTTGCTTGTAACTACAGTTACTAGTTATATATTTGATGAGTAACTATATTTGGCTGATTAACTGTTGCATAGATGAAGGAAACAATGCAAATGAAGATTTTGCTTTGCTCTGTTATCTATGGCAGCATAATTAGCCAGAATGAACTTGTAATTATTGTTGTTGAACTGTTGTTGACGAGAGATTTTCCCTTCAATTTACATGTGGTGGGCAAGATCTTTCTTCTTAATTTTGTGTGAACAGAATTTTCAGTTATCAAGTGGGGAAAGCAAGCTGTTTTAGTTCTATAGCTGACATTGCAAATTGATTTATTAATTATTATCAAGGTTTACGCTATTATCTTAAGGCCCCTGGTGGTGCAATGCAGATAGCATCTTTTTTTCCTTTTGCCCTCCAGCTTTAGCTCCACCAACACTTGAAGCCATTCTGTTACGTGCTTGTGAAGTTTAAAATGACTCAAAATTGGTTAACTATTCAGCATATCATTTATTAGATGCAACATCCAACACAAAATCTTTCTATATCCGTACATATGAACTATTATATGAGTAACCAATAGATATTACTACTCGAATTGCAAAATCTCATGCCAGGCAGGAATCATGTGCTTGTTGAACAGGAAAACTCCCGAATCTGAAAAAGCATTTCAAGGTGGCGCATTCTATAAATGCATATGATCTCAACTAATTCTTTGGTGGATAACATGGTTTTATTAATCTTATTCTTATCCAGTCTTCCCAAGGACGAAAAGCTTTTAAGGTGTCTTTCTTCACATGATGAGAAAGTTATTTTGACTTCTAACTTTTCTGGTTCACATAATTTTGATGATGCACTGGGAATTCAAACCATCTGTATTCAAAACTTGGAATAGTAGGGAAAAACAAAGGATCAGTAACAAAAACTCTGCAGAAATGAACCAAGCATCCTTTTACTTTATGACCATTACATGCCACCTATTAAGTTGCCATCTTTGGATTTTCTGTAGTAAGCTTAATGACCCACTTCTATACTACATCTATATGGTAACCCCTTCTGTATTATGATTTACATAAATCAAAGCAAAAGGAGACCTCCTGCGTTTCTACTCCTACTAAGTTTAACCGCAATTACGCGAACTCTTGAGGAAAGAAGCACTCTTGGTGATCTCCCGCAATGGCTTGTCTGTATACCTCACCATGTTATAAACCCAAGCACCTGACACTGCCCCAAGAACTGGTGAAGTAAGGTATATCCATATTCCCTTGTAATGATTGGATACGATTGCAGGTCCCAAGCTCCTTGCTGGGTTCATTGATGCTCCTGTAATTGGGCTGTCCAACAGGATCTTAAATCATCAGCACATAAACATGTACTGGTAAAAACCAAAACGACAAAAAGTACAAAACATGCTTATGTTTGTCCCTATGTTGCGGAAATGTTGCACATATTCAACTTTTCGTTATCATTTTACTTTTTGGTTTCAATCACTTTTGAGTTTTAAAAAACAAATTGAAGTAATAGTAGTAGTAGCCAAGTAGGTTAAGGAAAAAGTTAATACCCCGCAAACATCACATTAAGCAGCACGGTAGCGCCAACGGCAAGTCCTGCTAGTTCTCCAATCTACATAAACGAGTCAGAACATTATTGTTGTTACTTTTAAAACGTTTAATATCGTTTTCAATACAGATAGATTTTAAAAGACCGAATCACTGTCGTTAACCTTCTAATGTCATATGAATTGAAATATATTTAGGCAAATTAATCAATAGTATAATAAATATTGGTGGATATCAAAGGCCAGTGAGGTTGGCTACTTAATTCACCAAACCCATTGGCTTAGGCTTTCCTTATTCTATGAAAGAAATGAAGGTGAAAAGGTAGAACTTACAGCCCTGTTATCAGTGGCAACACCGGATATGACGAACATGAGGTAGAAAGTGATGATGAACTCGACCACAAAAGCCTGCAAGTCAGACCCTTGTGGTGACGTTCCAGCAAAGACGTCGTGTGGTCCGCTAAACAGTAGACGAAGTGTACCGGCTGCCATAGTTGACCCAAGAACTTGAGCCGATATGTAAGCTGGCACCTAAATAACAAAGCAAATTGAATTAACCATTGGAAACTTATGCAACACCAGCTATATCACTTGGAGAACATTGCCTTGGACCAAATTGCATTCAGGCAATAGTTATTTAGCCTTTTGAACAGAAGTTTTTTCTACTTTCTCAACAAGAAAAGTCAATCTTAAATCCCAAGTTATTAGAATATGACCAAATTTGGTTTAAAGTTGGTTTTTGTTGTTGACCAATTTTTACGAAGAGAAGGTATCGACATTATTTTCATTATCTTAAAATGAAGGAATTGACCATGCTGCTACCATTTACCTGTTTGAGAGGAAATCTTTTGCAGGTAGCAAAAGCAATGGTGACTGCAGGATTAAAATGGGCACCGGAGATGTGACCCACAGAGTAAACCAAGACCATCACAGCCAATCCCCACACTATGGAAATTCCTGGAAGGGAAACCACTTTGTCATTGTTCACATTCACCACCACTGATGCACATCCTGCAAATATCAGGAAATATGTGCCCACCACCTCAGCCATCAGCTGCAAATTGGAAAACAATTCATCATTCACTCTTTTGAAACATAAATTTCCAGTAACAACTTGGTATCATGATTATATCGGATGAAGATTGCAGGGGACATAATTGAAGCATGGCAATTGATTAAGATCAAAAACAAAAATTGGGTTTTTGAAGGCAAGATTTCTACAAATTAATTTGCAGATTAATATTAATTGGAAAAAGAAGAAAAAGACGAGAAAAAAGAACATATAGTTTACCTTTTGCATGAAAGGTACAGAGAAACGGATGTCAGAGTCTTTGCTTTTGGACTCTGACGGTGGCGGATTATGATTGGCTTCACCATTCACATTCAGAACCACTCCATGATTTCCATTACCCCCGGAGATCTCAGCCATGACTGCTAACTTTTATCGGACAAGAAAACTAGGAAAACAGTGAAAAGAAACCCAGAGAGAGAGAGAGAGAGCAAAACAAAGGAGACAAAAGACAGGGAAAGATTGCTTGCTCAGCTAGCTTTTGTTCCTCAACAACCAGGAAGAAGTGTACAACAACTCACAAAATCAAGCCAATTTAAAGGGCAGCCTGGATGATCAAAAAAATAATAATAGGAGGGGGAGAGAGAGAGAAATTGGATTTTGTTAATTAAAAAAAAAAAAAGAGCGATTGACCATGAGCCTATTTTATTTCCCGCTGCTTCTTTTTCTTCTTTGCGTCTTTTTTTTAACTAATATTTATTTCTTTCTTTGGATATATCGTTGAAAAATGTGACTCAACGAAAGGGAAAAAGCATTGAAGACTGCTTCAACCACCCACCGTTAATACAGAAAGACATGAATGACTTTAAGTAGGTCCTCTAGTTGTAATCTCCTTTGGGTTAAGCCCCATGAATATATGCATGCATTATAGCCGAGAACACAGCATTACATTAATGGAGTTTAATCCCAAATCCCCGCTCCTTTATCCTATTCGATTAAAAGAGTATAAACTTTATTTTATGAATAAATTTTTATTAAAATAAAATATTTTAATTAAATAATACGTTATAAATATATAAATTTTACTTTTAACGAATAAGACGATGATTCTCTAAATTATATTCTTATCCACAATTTACTATCTTAACTAATAGGGAAAACTACCAAGAGTGACAGCTATGTTTAGTGTTAATTTTCTGTAAAGACAACTGTAGTCGTTAATTATGACATTAATTATGATTTGTGATTATCAATTACCAATTTTTTCTTTCTCATTCTTTTTTTTTTTTTTTACTTGAAAATGGTTTCTTCTTTGGTTTTGATTCTTATTTTGGGCACAAGTTTGCACAACATGGTATTCTCTTTGTAGTGACAAAAATTTGAGCTGGACTTGCTAATTTTATCGCATAATTTCCTTATGAATCTATTATATAGGTTAACAAAGCAAAATATAATTCTTTGATCCTTTTTTCTAGAGAATTTTTAATTGATGCTTATCTCTAATAGAAGTGTTTATGGTCGGATTAGATCAAATTTGAGTAAGATTTATATTTGATATTAATAATTTATATGCTTAAAAAAGTCTCACCCAATCCGATATTTTAAATTTCAAAATTTTTTTAAATCCAACTCAAATGAAAAAAATAAAATTTAAATCCATCCATTAAATTTAATAAAAAATATATATACTTATATAATTATAATATTTTAATTATATATATTTTATTTAGATAATGCCTGACCAGATCAAATTATAATTCTTTTATTTAAAGTTCGACTCAAAATTTAAATAAACCTAAAAATTATGTCCAAACTTATTTAACAAATTTTAATTTTTTATACAATACTTTTTAAACTTAAACGGACTTTTCGACTTGAGTAAATAACCTGACTCTTGAATAAATTTATTAATTTTCTCTCTTTGTCATGGTATCCATTACATTATGTTTGGATTGAGATGAGGAGAATGAAAGAAAAGGAAAGTAATGGAAATAGAAAAATCTTTCATTTATTTGGATAAATTTTTAATTTAAAAGAAACAAAAGAAGTAAAAACTCAATAACCTTTGATTTCGTAATCCTCACTTTTTTAATACTCAAATTTAGGAAAAAAGGTAAGAAAAAAAAAGTTACAAATTTTTTATTTTTATAAAAAAATTATTATATTTATATTTTTATTAATATTAAAAACCTCGTAAAAAAAACTTAACCACATTATAATCTTCTTATAATTTTTTCAAAACCATCTCTTTTTGGGTAAAATAAATTTACGTTGGATAACTATATGTGATATGTTATTATTTTTTGTTTGGTGCAAAAATGACATATAATTCGCTAGTATGTAATGTTTTTATGTGATTATATTTTTTATATTTAATAACTTTTATATGAATATATTGTCAAAGTGATAGTGTGTTGAAATTTTGACAATAGCTAAAAAATCTATTAATGCATGTTTATAAAATATTTTTTTTATTTTACTTGATTAAAAACTATTAATATAATAATAATTGTGAGATCAGATAAGATAGTAAATATATCATAATACATGAATATATCATAATACATGAGTGTTCTAAAATCATAGACAATAAAATATTATAATTAAAAAAAATTATTATAATGAATTATTTCCTTTATTTTTCATTATTTATCCAAATAATGAGTATTAAAAATTTTTTCATTTTCTTTCTTTTATTAATTTTAATTATTCAAACAAATAATGCATATATCTTTTTTTTAAAAAAAAAACTTTTTTTTTATTTATTTTATTAATATTTATCCAAACATTACGTTAATAAAAATAAGTGTCTAAATACTAATTTTACTAATGGATACCATTACATTACGAGAGGGAAAATTAGCCATAGTTGGAACATCAAAATAAAAGATTTTCAATTGTCCATAATAATTTGCTGAAATTAAGGTTAAAAAAAAAAAAAAAAAAACCACGATTCATTGACTTGTAATCAGTTTATTGCTTTTTCTTTCCGGTAACTTTGCTCATTCGTTATACGCCAAAAACAAGAACGAAGCAGAAAGCTACTGATTGTACCAAAAATTGTAAAAAAGTAAAAGAAAAATACAAAGTATCAAGGATTAAACCAATTGGAAATAAATGTTTTTGAATAATTACAGAATAAGAGGTACATACTTTGCTAGCTAATTGTTTATTTGTTTAATAAAAAAAATTTTAATCTCTCACTTACACGTTTACCGATCTCAACAAGTGAATCAAATGACGAAGTGAAGCAAATTTTGCAGCCAAACCAGGGAGAAAAGTCTTACAACTGTTAAATTGCAAGGAAATGTTGCTGTTTTTTTTTTGTCATAACTATAGCCGAGTTTCGATGTGGAATAAACGCGTATGTCATTTGTTGTAATTGATTCATTAATTATGGAACAGAAGAGAATCAATCTTATTGCCAAAAAAGCCCAAACTAGCACGGAAAATAAGAAAGCTTAGTAGGATGATTTTGTAGATAATTCGAGAAGTTCCTCAAAGTCGACGTATATATCAGCAGCCATAATTCCTTCCCTTGCTGCGTGAATACTGGACAACGCCAAGGCGGACCACGACTTAAATTTTTAATAATTAATTATATATATTTAATAAAATTAAAAAATATTTTTTTTATATTTTATATAGATAAAATTATGATATATATTTTTTATATAAAATATAATATAAATATATAAAATTTAATATTTTACATGATACAATACATGAAACAGATAATATTGCTACTATATTATCGTATAATAATTCAATAATTAGTGATTTTGGTAGATTTATTATATCACGAGTCAAGATTTAAGCTTCGAACCCATGCGGCTTTGGGACTTGGGCATGTATTCATCCGGCGTCTCAGATCAGTCTTCTTGTCACGGTTCACACTATTATGAGATATTGTCCGTTCTGACCTCCATGATTTCATGATTTTGTCTTACAGAAAGCACCTCACAAAAAAGAGGTAGTGTGAACTCTCCTTTTATACCCTAGTGACCCTCCTATTATGTTCGATGTGAGATTCAGGACTCTTCTTAGGTCTGTGACATTCTCTCTCATCCAACCTCGTGACGTCCTCGTCACGAAAGCTGACCACTTTGTCTACCTCCCTTAAAGTGCTTGGCGTGGATCGAACGGTTTAGGGTTGACTATAATACCAACTGTCACGGGCTCCGACCTTAGACTCAGAATTCGTGCGACCTTAGGTTTGGAACCTCTTCATTTATGCCTAAGTCAGCCTTAAAACACAAGCGTGTGGGCACTAGAACAATGGGAATGACTGATTACGTAAGTTAAAGAGAAACATGATAACAAGTCAGAATGCTGAAAATATGCTTTGTATTCACTGAAACAGAAGTGTTTGATGGTGTACAAATGAGGGTGGAGCAACTCTCTATTTATAGTTGAGGCTTCAGCTACACTTAATGACAATATCCCTAAAATAAAAGTTAAAATCAAGGGATTACAAAGATTACAATCAATCAAGATTCTTTACAAGTGTGAACCATGACAGGAAGATTGATCTGAGACGTCGGATGAGTGGATGTCCGGGTCCCGAAGTTACGCGAATTCGAAGCTTAAGTCTCGATCCGTGATAATTACATTGTACTAAAATTATTTTTTTTCCAAAACCAATGCTTTTATGCTTATGTTTGAGCTAAATGTGAAGTTTGACACAGAGCTGAGTTACAAGTTACAATAATTTTGTATTGCCGTGTGTTCTTTTTATCTCGACGATTCGGATTTCAATTATCAACTGCCTTTATGTCATTGTAACAAATTAAAAGTTCAAACCCAAAATGAAGCACATTTTTTTTTTTTTTGGTGAAATCCATGGTTATCCTACCCTTTATAAAAGTTTACAGGTAGGGCTTAGAAGATTAAGATGAAGCAAATTATATTCAAAACATGGTAATCACATTTGTTGCTTCTCCACGTTTAGAGCAACGAATCCCTCAACTCTATCATCACTTGCTCTAAAATATGGATTATATCAGATTGATACATCTCATTTTGTTGAACAAAATTCATAATTCTGAATTAGTCCCACCGAAGTGATTAGGCAATTGGAGACGAAACCACTGGCGGTTGCTCGCCGGCCATTGACAAGTGGCAGTCTGGTCAATCCACAACTCAAATCACCATTTTTACTACGTCATTGTCAAGAATTAAAAACGAAGAAAAGAATTTTTTGCTTTCAGAATTATCCTTAGTTCCTGCTAATTGAAGTATAGATATACACACGTTTTTAGGACCTTAGGCACGTAATGATCTCATATTCTGTCATGGGTTACGTGATCATGTCTATCTTATTGCCTGATTATGATTAGTTTTATTTGCTTGGCTATGACTTACAAAAAGAGGCCATAAAAATTATTTTGGTTTTGGCCCGATTTGGCATTTGCTTGTGTGAATGAGATACTGGTTTGTGCTCGGGTAAATCTTCTAAACAGTTTATTATCCAATAATTAAAAAAAAAAAGGGCTTTTCTATGCTTTTAAATCTTTTTGAGATCCAGTTAGAGCTTTTCCATGAATTTAGTTATAATTAATTAATATTGAAATGGTTTTATTCTCATTAACATGTTATGATCATAAGTGTGAAAAGAATTTCCCTTCTCTTGATAAAAAAGTGATAAAATTTTGTAACATTATTCTTAAAAAATAACATTTAATAAATATGAAGTTTCAATCTCGATATCTATCATTTTTTTATTTTAAAATAATTTTAAAAAAATAATATTCAGTAAATTTAATTTTTTATTTTTAACATTTATAATTCTTTTTATTTTAAAATTGTGACTAAGGATGTAAATAACACACCAATGCTTGCAAACTATTCGGTTTTAGTTTGAATAAATTCAAATTCGATTCGATCATTGTTGAGTTAAATTTGAACTTAAACAACTCGATTTATCGAATGAACTAAATTTCAATAGCTTACGAGTTTAATCAAAATTTTTTATCTTAATATAATTTAATTAAAAGTTGATTAATTTATCTTTATATATATTTGTTAATTTGAATTTAAACTCAAATTTAAATATAAATAATCGAGTTTAAAGTTGAACTTTGAATCAAACTTTTTTTTGTTCAATAAATGAGCTTAATAATCGAATAAATTCAAATAGTTCAATTTTATCTTGAGTGAAGTTCGAATTTAAAAATTAAAATTCAATTTGAATCGAATTTTGAGTAACAAATTTTAATTTAAGCTCAAAGTCGAGGATTTTACTATATTAACTCGATTCAATTCGTTTACAACTTAGATGTGACTTTTTTTTTTTTTTAATGATAGAGTGGACTCCACACACCAGCATTTCGTGCCAACATTTAAGGAACTAACCAATGTATTGACTGGCATCGTCTATGCATTGCATGCCACTGCTTTTTTCCTCCAAAGTCAACTTCATTAAATTTTTTTGCACCAAAATTTCCACTTGAAGCAAGGAAACTACATCAAATTGTCAAAAGAGTAAAGATAAAACGTTGAAGATGAGAAAAACATACCTTTATGTGCATGCTCTAATTATCAACAATTGTAGAATTTTTGTTTTTCCATAGAATCCCACTAAGTATTTGAAGTGGTAATCGATGGAATGAGAGACCTACCAACAATACTCTTTTGTTCAATGCGCATGCAAAACTTTCAACCTCCCACTAACTGCCAAATAGTCACCCATAATTTTTACCTTCTTAGCTTTCTTGATTATTCTATTCATAATCTTAAGCATTCTTTTGTGTTTTTGCCATTTTTATCTATGGACATTTACCACCTCCATTAGCATCGTGTGCTTTGGACAATGATTTTGATTCCTGAAAATCATTCGATTCACACTATCTTCAAATACACTTCTATTTTAGATGGTTGCATCACTTAATGTATAGAGTCTTGTAATCAAAATTTTTATTAATTGAATTCGAATTTTAATTCAAATAATTTATTTTTTTTAAAGATGAATTCTCTTAAAATTAGAATTACTCTTGTAATTTTCTTTCTCTAATCTCCTTAAACTACAACCTCCCTTAAAAAATGGTTTTTAGCTCATTTGTATCATAAGCAAGTACCAATAAACATTGGTTTTTTTTTTTTAAAGAAAAAAATTTACATGTCATGGTTAAGAATGGCAACAAAGTGAATATCTACTTTTTTTGAAATATTTGTATCTGAATTCGTTTAATGTTTATAATATTCGAATCTGTTTAAATATTCGTTTAATTTTAATATTTCTATTCAAATCCGAATCTATTTAAATACACTATCCATTTAAATATCTAAACTCATTAAAATATCTATTTATTTAATATTTTTTGTCAAAATAAAAAAAACAATAATTTAATTTAAAATTCAAATTTACTTTTAAATAATAATAAATAAAAATTATTTTCTAATATATGAAATCTTCTACAAACATAAAATTTTATATATTCTATATATGTAAATAGGCAATAAATTTAAATACGAATTCGATATCAATTACTATTTATTAAAATTTAAATGAATTTAAATATTGGATGTTTATAGGATATTATCCGAATCTACTTCGAATCTGTCACGAATAATAAATTTTTCATTTAAATTCGTTAACTATCTATTTATAACTATCTGAATCCGATATAAAACGGAATAGATAATAACGAATATCCCTTTATTTATTATCCACCATCATCTCTTGTCATGATTTATGTATAAATAGTAACTTTGTTGACTAATGACTGCAAGCTCTCAAAAATTCCTAACAAATTCCCATAATTCATGGAGGCATTGCAAGAGAGTCCTTTTTTTTTTTTTTTTTTTTTTTTCATAAATGGCAAGCAAAGACCCTTTGTGACTTGAATTTCATTCTCTTGCTGTAGAAAATGCATATGAAACCAACAAATCATATTACTATAACTTTTCAACCTCTCTAATTTCTTATAACTAACATAGTTGATTATAACTACTCTAGATTTAAATGTTAATCAAAGGCATAAATCAGTCATGTTCCTCATTATGACCCCATTATTTGGCTACCAAAACATTGGGAAGTTGGAAATTAATTACAAGGAAAATAACATCATTTGGTTTGACTTGGAATTTGACTAAGTCGTATTATGTCCAAATTACCAATTATGCCAAATTTCATCTAGCGTACGTCATTCTTATGTAAATAAGAAGTTTTAAATTTAAAGCTACAAATTAACATCTATATTAATTACAAAAAGTATTTATTGAATTTGGCATAAAAAAATCCAATGATATCAATTCAATTGAAAAACTGATAAAAAAAAAAAAAACCCAAGTATGTTAATAATAATAAATATGAAATTAACAAGTCTTTTAAGCTATTTTTATGTTAAAAAAATCATAATTTAAAAATAAAAAATTATAAACATTAAGGTTACACAATAAATTAGTTTATAAAAAGATGGATTATTTTTCATTCAAATTGTCACTCACATGTATGTATAGAATAATCCTTCGGCCAATTCTAAAGTTTTATCGAACATAAAGAGCTGAATAGATTGGATCAGAAAATCGAGAAATGCATGGAAGGGATTATTTCATCTCTGCTGTTTAATTTGCAGGCCTAGCCGGAGGCCCAACTAAAGCCCAAAAGTTAAAGAACAGCCTAAGGCATTCACTTTATGATTTGCTAAATAACTCCTATATGATCTCTCTTAATTTTATTTTATTTTTATTTTCTTTACTTTACCCTGGATCATATTTCTCTCTAACAAAAGATCTTTCTCCACAACTCAGAACCAATTTGAGACAATATCCGACAAGCAAAAGTCCATCACGCTGCAGCGCCGTTATCATAAAAGAAAGCGCCTTGCAGGAAAAAAGATCAACTCCATCATCATCATTGCATCAATAAACGAGTTCATTGTCAAGCGTCACCGTCACCTCACCAAGTTTTTATCCGAGCTGGCCCCTATAGTAACCCCATCATGCCGCCTCAAGGGCTTCCAGATTCTTAGACAGGAAGAAAAGACCCAGTTCGAAGCCAACATTGTTGTTGATCCAGTATCCCACATGAATTTGAAACCTGCGGCATCAATATTGTGCCCCGGTCCCCAGTTCTTGTCTTGCACCGCAACCTTCTTCCTCCATTGGTTTCGGACAAAAAAGGGATGATTGTTCTTGACTTGGAAAAGGGTTCCTATGGCACCCGTTTTACAGGGCTTCATGCAAACAAATGCTAGGCAAATTTGTGAAGGACTTGTCATAGATGGGAAGGGACCTGAGGAAGATCGTGATCGTCGATGATAACCCAAAGTCTTTTGCATTACAACCTGAAAATGGGATCCCCATAAAACCATTTTTCGCTGATGAGCCTTGGGAGGGAATTTTAATAAATTCATAAAATTAAAAATTTGGTTAATTTTTAATTTCAAATTTAGCAAAACACATTTTCATAATTCAATTCTATATAATTTTCCAAAAGATAATACTGTAATACAATTGAATTGATTTGACCAAAAAAAAAAAAAAAATCAAACAAGGACAAACAAAATGGAAGAGAAGAGCACTTAATTCAAGCTTGATGCCACCCATTTATGAGTTGTACACACCAAAACTTATATCATAGCAAGACGTATGTAAAGTTTGTTTAGGTAAAGTTTTGAGGTTTTCTATTAAAAACATTCTTAAAAATTTATTTTGAAAATCAAAAGATATTTTATCCTCTTCTTTTTCTAAGAACATTTCACTTGAAAATTTTACTATATCTTATAATTATCCAATTATAATAAAAAATTATATAAAAAATTCATTAATATTAAACTTTATATAATTTTAAATTATAATTAATTAATTATAATATAATAATCACATAAATTATTTGCTAGTATTTATTCTACATGTTTTAATTTTAATCTAACAATAAAAATAAAATTTTAAAATTGAGTGCAAAATAAATAAATAATCCAGTAGGGGAGCAACGACACTCTACAATTACTCTTTGGTTAATTTTAATCCCAAAACAATAATAAATCCACGTAAGTAAAATAAACCAACCTGTCGATCAGGAATCCCAGCTTCGTAACTCCGAACCTCTATCTTCATGACCGTTACACCGAAGCAAAATTTAAAACATTACGGAGTGGCGGACCCGTTATTACCCGAACCAAATTAAACCCCGTCCTTCTCCTCCTTTTAACATATCGGGACTTTTCCTCCTTTGTTTTTCTCTGGCTGATGATTTTTTTCGATCGTCCGATCATAAGCCAGAGCCCTGAAATGGTTTCCAAGATTATCAAGAGAACTCCGCCACGATCCATCAAACGCCACAGTCTTAACCACCATCGGAGTAAGACTTCTCCGACGAAAACGAATGCTTCGTTCTCCGTCATTGCCTCCCTTAACAAGTCCATCAAGACTTGCCGTCGCCGCCTTGCCAGGCTCTTCTCAAAGTTAGCCCACGTAGCTACTCCTTCAACCACCAAGCGCCGCCACAAGGGCTACAAAATCCTTAAACAAGAAGAACTTGATGAATTCGAAAGCAATTTCGTTGTTCCTCGGGCTCTCGTATTCGACCAATGCTTGCTTCCACCGCTGATTTGTGAGTCTAAAAAAACTATCTTTCTTGATCTAGACGAGACGCTGGTGCATTCAAGCCCTGATCCACCTCCCAAAATGTATGATTTTGTAGTAAGGCCGAGTATTGACGGCCAAATTATGAATTTTTACGTGTTGAAAAGACCTGGTGTCGATTTCTTCTTGGAAGAAATTAGCAAGAAATACGAGGTTGTGGTGTTCACCGCGGGGCTTAAGCAATATGCTTCACAGGTTTTGGATAAGCTTGATCCTAAGGGGTTCATATCGTATCGGTTTTATCGGGATTCGTGCAAGGAAGTGGGAGGGAAGTTTGTCAAGGACTTGTCTGAAATGGGGAGGGATTTGGGGAAAGTTGTGATAGTTGATGATAACCCAAATGCTTACTCTTTGCAGCCTGAGAATGCTGTCCCCATACGGCCGTTTGTGGAGGATGGTAGGGATAGAGAGCTGGAGAAGCTGGTGAAATTCTTTGAGTGGTGTGAACGGCTTGAGGATATGAGAGCGGCGGTCAAGCAGTATTTTAGTGGTAGCAACGGTGGCAGCAGTGTTGTTGCGGATGATTACGGCTTTGTGCAGTTGAAGCAATGACACTTGCTTTGTTTTTTCTTTCTTGGGGGTTATTTGGGTTGTTCAATTTGTTCTTTTCTGATTTGTGTTCTGAACAATAGATTTTTTGATATTAAGAAAATGCATTTTGTTTAGATCAAATTCCAATTCCTTGTTCCTCTGCTTTTTTTTTTTTTCTTTCACTTATTTAATTTAAGGATTAAAGGATCCATAACTAGTTTCAAACTTTCAAACCACAAATACGTTGAGTTCTGTAAAGCAAAGGATTGGCTGGTTTCTGGTCTAAATAAAGTTCGAAAATAAGCTCTACGTATGACCCTTTAAACTGATAAAGCTACTGCTTAAATTTAGATGTGTATGCTGACTGCCGGAATCTTTTTTTTGGTTGTAGCTTTTGGTTTTAATTCTATTGAAGATTTTTGCTAGAGTAGCCTTGTTCAATTTCAACCTGGTTAAAACTTTTCAGTTTCTAGACAAGGACTAATGTGCTCTCTGTCAAGAATCCCAGCTCCATCACTAAGCAGAATGAAAGAGGATTTGAGCTGCTTTGTTCTTTTGTTAACACCTTTTTTTAAGTGTGAGAGTTCAGTAATCTTTTCATTAATCATGCTAGATTCAAAAGGAATGTACGCTGGAGCCCTCAAAACGTGCATGTCAATTTATCATTTTTAAGACTACGAGGCTATTTGAGGGAAACTCCCTCTGATTTCTTAAGTTCCCACGGTAGTACACTATTTATGAGCAGGAGGTAAGAAATGATATCGAAGCAACTTTACCTCCTAAAAATTTGGTAAAATGTCTGTTTTGATCAACAAAAGAAGAAAAATAACCTCAATAGTATATGCATTTTCAAGAGTGGTTTCTCTGGCCAGGCTCTATTGAATTTCACCATAAAAATATAAGAGTTCACTACCGTCAATAGCAATCCCTTTTAGTAAGGCTATTAGTGGTGCATGCAGGTAAGCTTTACGAGACTCAGTGAGAGATGCTTTTAATTTCTCCCTAATGATCATGAAGTTAAGAAACTATATCACTTTCTTCTATGTTCGAGATGATCTTCCTAATTACTTCTCCATAAAACTAGTTTTGATTGGGCTCTCCTCAGCAAGCGGCTTCTTATTTTCCAGCTCGATGTTAAGCCAAATTGCCACACTTCCTCCCATATGTCATCAAAACATGTTAAAAACTGTATTTCTGACTCTGACAATGCGTTTGCTTCAGAGTTTTGACCCTTGAGCAGATAATTCTTGAGAAAGAAAAGCAAGATCGTAGAAGTTCTCCTGACACCAATACATAATTCAAACCCTTAAAAGGGAAGAAGTCAGGATTCTTCTATTTGAGCACACGTAGTAGGTATACGAAGCCCTTAAACTAACTGAAAATTGAAAACTAGAAACTCACTTGAAAATAGCATATCATCAACCCCCATAGTCTACAATGCGTGGAATTTGGCAACAAAGACAAAACTGATGATATATAAATGACACAACATGAGCCAATGCAAGTCTTGGACCCCTAGAAAAAAGCCACCTTAATTGTAATGAAGTCTTGAAATCAGAAAGTTAAACCATAGAAGCCCATAATTTTGAATTATGATGTTCAATAGTCATGTTCCTTCCTCTAGAACTTAAACCATAGCAGATCACCATGACGCTGTTATTTTCTATCTAGAACTTTTATATGCACCATTATTGTTACCATAGAATGCAATACATGTATACAATTATAACGAAGGAAAATATTTTAAAAATGCCCTAAATAGGCCAAACGGTCAGAATTTCACATCCTAGATGATAGATCTAATAAATAGCGTAGGTGAACATAAGAAACATCACATGCCAAATAAACTTGCAATCAGCTCTAGAGCAGAGTGTCAGAGAAATAGGAAAGGGAATGGTTATGGCGTCCATTAAGGATTGGATAGCTCTCCATGAAGCGAAGAGTCTTTAAAGTCTAAGTGTCTAACCAGTTTATCCAACAAATTCGTGTAATAAGTAGAGTTGAGGTGAACGTTTATCTTCTTGAGTAGCTGGTTCCCAACAATCAGGAAATCAAAGAGGCAGATTCTAACCAATTACTTAGCCTACATCCTCCCAGCTATCAAAATGCTAAATTTATCAAATTTCATTTTGAAAATTTTCACTCAGTAATTCAAAGTTACAATTATCTCTTCTTGAACAACTCATTCATTCACAAATAACTAGGAGAGTACAAGCACAATAAATAATACAATGAAGCAAAAGAGAGAAAGTAAGCTGAAAGTGAATGAATCAATCACAAAGAAATACTTGTTGAGGCAAGCGCCAAGCCTCAGCCTTGCTGAAGCACGTATCATCCAGAGCTTCACTACGGGTCCAACGGCACTTTGGGTTTTGCAAACATTGAGATCTTGACTCCATTTCACCACAACTTTGGATCTGATTCTTGTTGTTCCTTTGCACAGCTTACAAAATGCGGTACCAGGACACTGCAAGGTCTTTGTTAATTATGCTATTAGTTGGTGATGATGATGTTTCTTATGATGCAGCTTCTTCAAGAATTTAAAATCCCAGCTGATAATATCTGTCGCAATAGTAAGCTGCTACCGGAAAATAGAAGAAAAATAGAGAAATAGCAAAGAGAGAAAGAGAGGAGAGAAGAGAATTTAGCAAAGAAAGAGAAAAACAGGATTCCCTTGAATTCAGTGAGTGACGAATTCCCTCACGTTCATCATATTTGTAATGTTCATAACAGACAGTACCGTTGCAACTTATGGACATACCCATATTACCTTTAGTGGACTATTCCCGGCTAACTGAGCTTGTCCTAACATAGGGCCAAAACAAAAGAAATAAACGTAAGCTAATAACATAATTAATTACTACTTTTATAATTAGGCGTGAGCCAATGCCCTCGCCTGACAAAATCCTCGTCCCCAAGGGTGAAAAGCGGGAAATTTGTGTTGTAGCTCATACATGACTTCCCTGTTGCGTATTCAAGAAATTTCCGTCAATGATCAGCTGAGGTTCCTTACTGACAGTGCCATCATTCCCAATCAAAGCAAGTTGAGATTGTGCTGGAACAGCCCCATGTGTTCTGGAGTTGGGACACATGGAAGGTTGGATGTACTCTTGACCCTGTTGGTAATTGCAACCCGTAAGCAACCTTTCCCACCTTCTTAACAACCTGGAATGGACCAAAATACTTAGCAGACAACTGCAAGCCGCTCACAGTCATTTGCCTGTATGGCTGCAATTTCACAAAAACCCAACCTCTTAGCTCAGATTCTCTGTCAGACCTCGTTTTATCAGCGAAGTTCTTCATCCTCACCTGAGATCTTTTAAGGATAAAACTTGAGCATCCTTGTGGCTGCTTCCCTAGCTTGTAGGCTCCTGTTCACAGTGCCAACAGGGGAGTCCCCAGCCAAATAAGGCAGATGCATAGGAGCTGGTTGTCCATAAACAAGCTCATTAAGGAGTGGTATGAATAGCCGAATGATAATTGGAGTTATACCATCATTCTGCCAAGGATAGCCACCTGCTCCATTCCCTTGGATTTTCAATTGTGATGCATCTTAAATAGGATCCCGAGCATCTGTTGACTACCTCAGTTGTCCATCTGACTGAGGGTAATAGGCAGTGGAAAGATTAAGAGTTGTACATGTTTTCAAACAGTTCCTGGTAAAAATTACTCATGAATATCTTGTCCCTATCTGAGACAATACTGTTTGGCATACCATGAAGCTTCTAAACATGATCCATAAAGACTTGAGCTACTGACAAGGCAGTAAAAAGATGTGCTAAAGCAATAAAATGTGCATATTTGCTCAGACTATCAACAACAACCATTATCACATCTTTACTTTGAAACCTAGACAATCCCTCTATAAAATCCATAGAGATGTCGGTCCATTATCAGGAATGGGAAGTGGTTGAAGCAACCCTGGACTCGCAGCATTATCGTACTTGTGTTGTTGGCAGGTTGTACACTCCCTGGCATACCTCTTGACTTCTTTTTTAACCCTTTCCAGAAAAGAACACTGGTGACTCTACTCATGGTCGGTTGCACACCAGAATGTCCACCAGTTGGAGTACTATGAAAGTATTATATCATCTCTTTCCTAAGCTCAAGATCTCTCCCCACCATCAGTTTGCCCTTCCTTTTCAGTAAAGTTCCATGTAGTGTATACTTTGAGTTGCTACCAGTAGACTTCTGTATTTCTGCAATTAGGCCTTGTACTTGTAGGTCATGCTCCCAAGATTTCTTAATTCTATCCAACAAATCAGTGCTCATAACAGAGATAGCCATCAATTAGGTTCGGTTTCCCTTGGTTTCCTGGAGAGTAAGTGAGCTATTATACCTTGTATCCTATGTTTATGTTTCTTTGTAAATCTTATTGTTGCTTTTTAGTGCTCAAAATTTGATTTATGTTTGAATATGTAGGTACTTTTGTTGGATGTTCACTTGTCACCACTTGCAGATGGGAGAATTCCCGATTCTTTGGCAGCCAGTCAATGACTGCATCAGATATACTTCTTGGGTAAATGCCTCGGCCACCAGCTGCTTCCATTCTCTACCATGCACTTTCTGATCTATATAACACGCTAAGTTGAGTGCCTGAAGTTGGAAATCAAACTTATTGCTCCAATATTCAGTATGAATAAGAGCCAATGGAGCATGAATCTTATATACGTTTTCTGGAAATCATCTATTCTGATATTCCGTACTATCATTCTTTGCCTTTGTCAAAGTTGATAATGGATTATAATATAGGGGGTGTATAGGTCTTCCAAAAGGGAAGGACCTGGATGGGGAAAATTTTGAAGGAAAATGGAATGACTGGCAAAAAAGAAAGGAAGCCCAAAAGGACTTAGCATGTTAATGTGATCATCTCGCCATTGTATACGTAAGTTTGTATTTTTAAAAACATTCATATCATAAAGAAAACAAAGAAGAATCGATTCAAGTGTTCTCCTGGCTAAGTTATTATTTTCAGTGAGATCTGGTTGCATCCGCCACAACGTCACAGTAACTGCTAGTTGCAAAACAGTTAAGATGGTTTTTTTTTTTTTTCTGTCAACTTGCTGGAACCCCGACCATGCTGATAAATGAACGCACTACACACCCTTTCCTAAAGTAAAAGGACAGTATGATTATCTTGTGCGACTGCAGAGAAATGATTAACAAGGCAGCACTATAATTGCGTTACCACTACCCAAACTTTTTTTCTTTCTTTCACTATTCACCTGGACTGGAGGCCACAATCTTGAGAAGCCGAAGAAATTCGAATAACCATCAGGTGCATACAAGCATTTACTCGTATCTCGTTATGTCCTCTCCAATTTTCCTGGTAAAAAAAAAAAATATAAGTTCGCTTTACTCTCAAGTGCTGAAACAGAGTAGTGGATCATAGTCTTGACCTACTGATTAGATCAACACAAAGCAGTGGGAAAAGGGACAGGAGAAAAAAGCGGGGAAAGAGAAGGAAGAGATTGAGTCCTCCATGGCACACCATTTTTGTTTTCTCGAACATCATCATATCAGTTAGTTCTGTATTATTACCATACAGTTATAATTGCTTGGTGTGTAGACATATAAGTGTTTGAGTGTGCAATCATTCATAATCTATGCTTACTACTGTTTTCTGAGCATCCCAAGCTTTCTCCATATCAAAGGGATAATGAAAGGATTGCTATCATCATTGTTTGATCAACTTAAAAAATCTTGGAAATCCAGGAATGCAATTTTTGAACGTAGCATATTCTAAGAGTATTAATTCTGAAAATGATGCAGCAAAACGACTCTATGCTGATGCTGCGGCAGTCGTTTGTCTCCAAAAAGAACATTTTATTACCAAATAATGTGATGAAAATTTCAATCTGATGATCTTTTTTTTTTTTTTTATTCTTTTGATCATTTTGGGATGCCTTTTCCCTGACCAATAAGCTGGACAATCGCTTTTCCTGCTCGAATCACTAAATGCTCTGATCAAACTAGGCCAGGTAGAACACCTCAATTTATCACTCTGATGAGATGCTGTTGCACCAATGTATTTTTTAGTTCAACAAGGACATGCCTCCTACTGATTTGTCTCAACTCAAACCCCAGAAAAAGGTCAATTGAAAAGCAAATATTTTCGAATTTCACTGTTAGCTTAGCTCAGTCTGCATGTATACTTTGATTTCTTCGGTCAGGGTGGTTTTTGAGTTGCATTTCAAAAACAATGAACTTGTTGAAAGGAGAAGACTTGCAGATTGAATGAAGATTGATTCAACCAAAAACACATCACAAGTTCATACAATCACTAGAGTCCAAACTTAAGATGCGATGAGAAATCTCACGCATTTAAAATCACTTTCAACCACAAAACCACGATTACACCAAACGGCTAATGCAGTTGTCAATGCTATTACTCGAATTTCTGTTCAGATAGAAAAATATGAAATGGATGAATGAACTACACTTAAGGAGCAAATTCACAGCTATGAGCTATTTATAAATTAATCTTTCGTTTCTCTTTTGGTTGAAAGGAGAGATGGGGTGGGGGAAAGGGGTTGGAACTTGGAACAGATGCTTCAAGTCATTGTACTAACTCGATAGTACAGTTGCCAACGGGAACACAGATCTTTGATTTTGACACGAAATTTAACTCCTGGTCTAGAGAAGAGCGAAGCCAAATGAAGACCCACGGAGAATATTCTCAACCTCTTCCACAAGTGCTGCTTGATTATCATTCTCATTTATTGAAGCTCTATCTGCTCCTTGGAAACAAATCATTAGACAACAGAAGCAGCATATGAAAATTTACGTGCAGGCGCAAAACCATAAATCGATCCCAAATTACCTGGTTTTTGAATTTCCAAGTGTAAGCTCAAGATCATCGGCTACACATTCCTCGTGGATCTTTTCTCCTTCCCAAGGCTTCACTAACCATGTTACGTTACTGCCAAATGCAAACTCAGCAGCAATCGCATCAGACATGGGAACATCCGATGTTTGATCAACACCTGCAGGAAATGCTGGTGAGCATGTGCCACTTTGCCCAGGAGTCCACATTCGTGAACATCCACCTGATAAAGCCTCATCTTTAAATCCAAACGGGTTTCCAGAGACAAGGCTGAATGTAGGGGATGTTGGCCCACTTTGGGGTATTTCAAGTCTGGAAAGCCATCCTGAATCAGGAAAAACCTGACGGCTAGGACTTGGTGGAGTGGATGAAGGAAGGTAAGAATAACGCTGCACAGGCCAAGCTGAGCCAGCAATCCTTTCATCCCAGTCATTTCTTGTTCGAGGAGTCCGGGAAGTTGGGGAGCTCAATGGTGGGGTGACAGGAGCACTTATGGACCCCCCAGCAATGTAGAGATGGTGAGCAAGCTTGGATGAAGCTGAAGATGAGCCAGAGGAAAGGGTTTTGAGCCACGGGATTAGGGAATTGGCATCAGCATTGCCATTGGCATTGGCTGTGTAATGGGATGAAGCTGGGCTTGGGAAGGAAGATGAACCAGGACTTGGATTGTAAGATGCACAAGGACTTGGGTGATATGATGAGCATGGACTAGCTGATGCAGAACCACCTACGATGTCCATGCGATCCACTGGTTTGCATCCCTGCAGAAATGGAAAAAAGCAATTGGCTGTGAGACAGAATTACTGAAACAGCTCTAGACGTTGAAGCAGCTATAGCAAAATACATAATCCTCTCAAGACCCTTTTTTTCTAGCTTTCTGATCACCTAGCTCATTATGACATGATAATGGCTGAAACATCATGAATACTAAAGTAATTAATTTCTTGCAAGAAGCTCATTATCCCAACTGACAGCAAAAAAGATCGAACCTGTGATTGTCCCACGGGATATAGACCTCACCGTTAGTATCTGTATCTTAATTATAATCAAATTCATGTTCATGCACATGGTAAGTGACACGAAAGCCATCATTAAAACTAGAAGTCAAAGTCGAAAATGCAGATATACTTCATTTTATTATCCCCCCTCCCCCCCCCCCCCCCCCAAAAAAAAAAAAAAGTTTCTGAGTCTAATCTTCAAGTCCCTAAAAGTTTACACCTTTAACAAATGACCAACTTTGCCTCAACCATTTGGCTTTAACAACAAGGACAAGAAAAGAACAATTCATGATGAATTATGAATATAAATCATTTTATATAACTACTAGTCTTCATTTTGCCAAACATTAAATGCGACATTTTTGTCTTTAGACCATTCATAGGGTCACATCTGGTGGATAAAAGCACGATGGGGCAACATAGTCATTGCAACCCGACAAAACTTCGGTAAAATGAGAAACCTAATGTCAAGTACAATGGCTTTAGTTACATAAGCATAAATGTATAATGCACCATAAAAACACGCTACCTCTGCCAACATGTTTGATGTTTCCTATAAAAGCTTAATCAAAACGACATCCTCACGCGCTTTACCATCCCCCCCCCCCAAAAAAAAAAAAAAAAAGCTATTTAAATCTCATCATAAAAGTGGAATCCAAGGATTCGATATCTCCTTTTTCTCCTTGATTTTTCATTAACACTGATTAAAAAGCGTAGTCAAGCCAATAATACCGGAAAATTTTTTTTGAAAGGAATTTGACCTTGAATGGAAATGACCAAAGTGACCTTGCTTATTCCACCTAAACTGACGACGTCTATAGTGGCATTTTGGGAGAAGAAAAAGACAGGAGTGTAAAAGGGAAATATCAGTTTCATTAAGGCGAAGTGTAAGTTTCAATCTAGAAGATGGATAGTGTCATCGAAATGACGGAACTACCCCTGACTGAAATGCCTGCAGTATATTGACAGACTAAAAACGGCAAGTTTTTATTGATCGACAAGGGGCGTTATCGTCTCATTACATAGCAGTTCTGATTAAAGCTGTCTGAAACAAAGCTTCTTCGTCCTTTTGCTTCACGGATGCCGAAACAGAGACAGAAACAGAAACAGAAAAACGAATCTTTGACAGCCTTCTTGCTTTGTGCTTTCCCCTTCCCTAACCAACACTACAGATTTAATCAAATCTCAACCGTTCATCGAGAAAACAAAGACGATCACTTGCTACATAGAGCGTATTCTATCATCCTTCTCCACCTTTATCCTAAAATACTCAAGTATACAATAAAAAAGAAGTTAATAGTTTAGTTATTTGGTTTACCTTTCTGTAAGTGGTACCGTCTTCTTCGACGGTCCAACCAGCTTCGTTGCAGAGAACTTTCAAGACCTCGTTGTTGTCGCAGTGCTTCGGAAGCTTGTAGTTTCCATACATTCGTAGCCCCGCAAATATCTTCGCCGCGAACGCTCGCCTCCTCCTCTCTCTCCGCTTGTTGTTCTCCCTCTCCTTCCACGTCGGCATCCTCGTCCCTGACGTCATGCTTTAAACACCTCCTCCAAACAGCGGCGACGTCAACCTCTTTACTTCATGTCATTTGAGAGTCTTATTTTCTCGAGAAACAAACGGAGAGAGGAATTAAAAAACAAAGGATCTGACGGTTTTTCTTTTTAATACTTTTTTTTTTTGAGAGGGAAGTGCTGTTAAATGAAGGAGATCTAGGAAAGGGTGCGGCTAAATACAAGGGAGGAGTTTAATTGGCCATGAATGATCCTTAAAATTACGAGAGAGCCACCTAGTAATATGCAAAAGCTTTATTCCGGGATCACGGGGGAAACACGTGTTTAGGCTTTTTAAAAAGGTTCCCCTCCCTCCAGCCACAATGGGAAAAAAGAAACAATAATTAGAGTTATCGACGGATAGGGTCTGAGACTGAATTTTTTTTTTTTTTTCAAATTCGATTTGATTTGATTTTTATTAAATTTGAATTTAATTTAATTTAATTTTTTTATTTTTTAATATTTAAATTTAATTTAATTTGATATTATATAAATTATATTTAATTTGATTCAAAATTAATAAAATATTATTTTTTAATATAAATATTTAAATATATAATTATATAAATAATTAAAAAATAATTTTTTATAATATCAAATTGAATCATATTGAATTTGCTTGAAGTTACATTAAATTTAATCTCAATTTTTTTTAATTTTATTTGATTTGATTTGATTCAAAATTTAATTTAAAAAAAAAATTCGATTATATGAAATCTAATCGATCAAATCAAAATCTGTTGAGAGTGGATTGAATTGTCAACCCTAATAATAATAATATTTTTAAAGGCAAAAACGGTTTGATCCGCAAAAAATTGTCTTCTAAGCTTTAACCATTTTGGTTTTAGAGCTTAGACATTTGGTTGCTTATGTATCAGTAATTACTAACGGATTATAATTTTCATTTTACTTATCATATGTAGTAAAGGAAACTCTAAAGTAGGAAAAATGGGCTAAAGCCAAGAATTAGAATTAGAGGTTAATGTGTTAAAAATTCATAACAATTGTACAGTAATAATACGGATAAAAAAAAAGAGAAGGAAATGGTTTCAAAAATTTTTTTACTATTGAAGAATTAAAGAAAGAAAAGAGAAAGTAATCTATTGATGGGACATTGGGTGACTATATGCGGCGGGGCCTCATTGCATGCGGACGGTACGGTGGCCGGCTGAGTTGACTGACTGTCACATTTGTCAGTGATTATGTGGGTAAATCCGCGTACGTTGGATGGCTGTTCTGCTAGTAAACTTTACAGTTAAAATCCGTAACTAATAATAAATCACGGTAAATCTACTGTATCTTTTTTCTGTCTGATCTGCAGTACTGCTCCGCTAGGGTAGGCTTCTTTGGCCACCTCGTCTTCACGTGACCATGTCTACCACCAATCTGGACCTCTGCCCTCTTAGCATATTTTGGGAGTGAGTTTGCATAATTAGAAGTGCCAGGTGTTTCAACCTTGTTGGTGTTAAAGGGCCCACCCTGTTATACTTTCGCGCCATTTTTTCAACGAAAAAATATCACTTATAATTATTAATTTAATTAATTAATTGTAATTTAAAATTATATAAAATTTATGATTGAATAATTATAATATTATTATAAAAAATATAGATGAAAATGAGTTTTGAATTGATTTTTGATCCAACCTTCCCCTTATTTTTTTTAAACTTTAAATCCTATTTAATTTTAAATTAAATTGACTTTAAATGAATTTTAGATCTTGTATTAAGGATGAGAAAAAATAAAAACTTGATTTAAAATTATAATATTTGGATTAGATTTGATTTTTTTAATCTGTTTGAATTAAATTAATATATTAAATCTATATATTATATTTGAATTATATTTTAAATTAAAAAAATTAAACTAAAATATATTTTTTATTAATTTTTAAATATATTTTTATAAAAAAAATAATTATTTTATATCTAAATTAATTTAAATATATTAAAATAATATACAAAAAATAAATTTAAAAAAATCAATAAACTAAATTTAATTGAATTGATAGAATTCGATTCAAATTAAATTAATTTTTAAAAAAATCAATTTAAATTCAAATCAAATTTTAAAATTTTATAATATTATATATTATTTAAAATATATAAAACGAATCCGATTTGATTCAAACTGATATCACTTCTATCTTATATAATGAAATAATGAGTGAAATGAAAATCCCATATAAGAGATCATAATTCATACATTGAGCAAACATTTTAATAGTGTCAATCAAATTTGTTTTTATTTGAGTTTATTAAAATTAAAATTTTGATATTTTATTAATAAATTACATTATTTATTAGGTTTCAATCAAACTTGATTCAATTGAATTTATTAATATTTTTATTATGTATAGTAAATATTTTATCGTCTTTGATGTCAAATTATGATATATTTTACATTTGTAAATAATAATAAAAAATATATTAAAAATAATGAAAACAAGCCAAATCTATGAAGGGATTAATTGGGTTAAATCGTCATAGAAAATTCCCTTAATTAAATTAAATTAAAGAAATTTAAAAGCACTTAGGACAGGATGTGGGTCCGGTACCTCAACAGTTCGCCGCGGACTCCGAGAGGACATATTAAATGAATTTAAATTGATCCAGTTGAGTCCACCTCCCGACTGCTTTTAGCCATTTGGCCATAGTAGCTGTGGTGCTGTGGCTGCTTTGCTTTTAATTTTTGTGGCTTCTTTTCCATTTAGCAAGGCACCAATTCCGGGAGGGAATGGGATTGCACACTTTTTCTTACGGTAGTTGTTGAAATGTGGTGGGGCCCGTCAAGCCTCCCTGGTCTAAATCATATCCGTTAAACTGATGGGGTCACGTGATGCCCGATATGCCCGCCACCCACGAGGCATCGCATTTTTTTTTTGCATTTCATCCCCAACGGTGGGAGAGACTGCCTCAAAGGCCCCATTGTTTGGTACATTGGCTTTTCGTTTCTCATTTTGCTTCCCTGCATTTTTTTTAAAATTAAATAAAATTATTTAATAAAATATTTAAATACTAAAATAATATGTTACAAATTCTAATAAATTATAAAATAAAATCATTTTATACATTTTATCTTATATTTAAATTATATTATATTTTAATTAATTCAATTAATTTAAATTTTAAATCAAATTAATCAAAAATAAAATTTTTCTTAAATTATATTTATTAATTAATTAAAATTAATTTGATAATTAATCAATGAATTAAATTAATTTGATCAATAAGTCAATTAAAACCGATATATGAAAACCTTGTGAAGATCTACTCGTTTTATTTTACGCTGCCAATGCCCACTTGATCTTGTTTTAGGAGTGCCAGTGACCTAAGCCAGATCAAAAGTCCTTTTGGACTAGATATTTAAAAAATACTAATAATTCAACTCAATCACTATTTATTATTCATTTTGAGTTTAATTCAATAAAAATTTATCTTATTTGCCGTAAAAAAATTAATTTAAAAAATAAATGAAGTATTCTACTAAACCCAAAGTTTGGGCCAATCAAAGGAATTACAGGATGAACCCAAGAAATGTTAAATTTTCATATGGGCTTTACTCTGCAACTATACAAATATTAAATTTTCATTTTGGGTAAAGACGTAAATTGCAAGAAAAGGATGATCCATTTCATCTCTATGGAAACTCCGAGAACCAAAACAAAATAACAAAAATCAAAACTTCCCCTAATTATTTTTCTCGTTACGTCAATTTCTATACGAGTATTTTAAGTCATAACCATCCGTATAACATTTTTTTTTTTTTTTTGCCAGAACCGTCTATAAAGTGTTAAAGTTAGAGATTTAAAAAAATTTAAAAATAAAAAATTAATTCAAAATCATAATATTCATTTAGAATAAAAATGAGTTTTTTTTATTTATTTTAGTTTAAATTTAAAAATTAAATGTTTTCATATCTAAAAATAAAAAATAATTATAATAAATTAAATCAAATTATATATTTTATTAATTCATATATATTTAAAATTTTTATAAAAATAAAAATTTTATATCAAAATATATTAAATTTTTTATTAAAATAATATATTAAAAAATTAAAATTAATAAATTAATAAATCAAATTAAATTCATAAAATTTAATTCAAACCGCGTCATATAAAAAAATTTTATTCAAATTCAAATCAATATTTTAAAATTTATAATATTATGTAATATAAAAATAAATTGAATCCAATCTACTCTAACTTTTTATGTACACGCAATTTAAAAATAATTTGCTTGAAGTCCCATACTCTTATCCAAACAACCAAATCCCTTGAATTTCTAACTTTGTACAGATTTTCTCACCAAAGTCCCACGTCACCCAGCACGTAACATCCATATAATTTCGGGTCGGTGTATAAATATTATTTTTTAAAATTTTTATTTATATTTAAATAAATAAATAAATTACAAAATAATAAAATTTATTGATTTTTCACATTTTTATTTGTATATAATTAAAATACAAATTAAGAAATATGAACGAATCATTCCTTCAAAGTCAATGCTACCTCGCCGTCAGTACTCAGCACCCTTCCTTTTTAAGTTTCAACGAGAATAATACTCCTACTAATACTAATATTTTTTTTTTTTGAAAAAAAAAATAGAATCGTAGAAAAATATCTCATATTTTCTACTATTCGCGGTTGAAAGAACGAGAATCGGCAAATAGCCTCCACGCAGAAAAGGAAAGAAACGAAAAGAAATACGTCAAATTTCCATAATTGTTGTTTTGTTGGCGAGTTTCCAATTTTGGATCATCAATTCATAATCGTCATCTTCTTCTTTGGAAATTTGTCTTTTTAATTTTTCTTATATTTTGTTTTCTCTGTTTCTCTCTCTCTCTCTCTCTCAGGTAATTACAACTCAACTAACGCTCGTGAATCATTTGTTCATTTTTAATTATTGATTTATTTCTTCTTGCTTTTGCTTCAAGTTGTTTCCTTTTGTTTTTCTTACTTTTCCATCTTCTGTTGATTTCTTTTTTCCAAGAAAATGAAAAAAAAATGTTGTAATTATGGTTTCCAACTGATAACAGAATCAAGGAGTTTATTTTCTTTTTTTTTTTATAGTTTAATTTTAGTTTTAATTTTGGCTTTGGTTTGAATACTGGCGCTTTATATAGCTATTGCATGTTCAAAAACTTGGTGGGCTTTGGCTTCTCAATTCTTTGAATATCGATAATGTTTCTTTTTTCAATTTGAAGCTGGAAAAACCTTGAATGATATATAGTTTGTGATTGGAGGACAAATGGGTTTTGTTTTCATTGAATTTTGGAGGAGAATTTAGGGTTTTGAATTGAGGTTTTAGGGATTTTTAGCTGGCTAGATTGAAACAGCTGACATCTTTTTTTTTTTATTAATTAATTTGGGTTTAGAGAATTTTGGGTGTAAGGGTTACTTGATTGCTCTGAAACTTTTTCTCTTTTTTGGGAGTTCAATAAAGCTGTTGCTTTTCATACATCCAAGTTTAGATGTAATTGTTAAGGGTCTGATCTTGATTGAAATTTGTAGATTTGGGAAATTGAGAGTCATGAATTAGGGCCTTTTGGCAAGTTATACATTCTGGTTGATAAGGGATTACCATCGTTGGTTGCATATGACAGAAGGGTGGTCAAAGGTTTGTTCTTTGATTGATATTGATGTTTGGAGTGAGGATGTTATTTTCTTATGTCTGAGAGTTTGATTTATGTAGAAATTATTGCAATTGATTGATATTTGATTGCTGGGAACTGACTTTAGGGGTTTTGAGATTACATATACGGGAATTTTTGATATGGATGACGCTCAGGAGAGCTCAAGTTCACTCCCTCCATTCCTTGCAAAGACATATGAGATGGTGGATGATCCTTCGACAGATTCTATTGTGTCCTGGAGTGCAAGTAATAAAAGTTTCATTGTATCGAATCCACCAGAATTTGCAAGAGATTTACTTCCAAGATACTTCAAGCACAATAACTTTTCTAGCTTTATCCGGCAGCTTAATACATATGTGAGCCACTTGTCTTTTATCTCCCCACATTTATAAATTAATTACCTTTTTTGTTTCTCATTGTTGCTTGAATTGAATTATTTCCTTATTTTGGTAGGGTTTCAGGAAAATTGATCCCGAACAGTGGGAATTTGCAAATGAGGATTTTATAAGAGGTCAGCCTCATCTTTTGAAAAACATACACAGACGCAAACCAGTACATAGTCATTCCGTGCAGAATCTCCTAGGTCAAGGAGCTTCTCCATTAACAGAATCAGAGAGACAGAATTTAAGGGATGAGATTGATAGACTTAAGACTGAAAAAGAGTCGCTTGTTTTTGAATTAAAGAGGCATGAACAGGAGCGGCAAGGATTTGAGATGCAAATGCGGCTTTTGAGGGAGCGGTTGCAAAATATGGAACGACAGCAGCAAATAATGGTGTCTTCTGTGGCTCGAGTCTTGCAGAAACCAGGACTTCACAAAGATCTGACACCACAATTGGAGACTAATGACAGAAAGAGAAGGTTGCCTAGAATTGCTTACTTATATGATGAAGCTGGGATTGAAGATAATGAGACTGGCAATTCCCTAATTGCTAGAGAAAATCCAGATAGCACATCATTGCCCAACATGGAGCCTTTTGAACAATTAGAGTCATCCATGGTGTTTTGGGAGAATGTGGCACACAGTTTTGTTCAAACTAACATTCAACTTAATTCAAACCTAGAATTGGATGAATCAACAAGTTGTGCTGAAAGCCCAGCTATATCTTGCATACAACTTAATGCTGATGCTCAACCCAAATCCCCTGGGATTGACATGAACTCTGAGCCTGCCATTGCTGTTGCTTCGGAGCCTGTTACAGGAAAGGAACAATCTGCAGGAACCACTGCACCTGCGACAACTGGAGTTAATGATGTTTTTTGGGAACAATTTTTGACTGAAAATCCTGGTTCAATTGATACTGAGGAAGTTCAGTCAGAAAGAAAAGATTCTGATGCCAGAAAGAATGAAAGCAAACCTGGTGATCATGGCAGCTTTTGGTGGGGTATGAAGAATTTAAATAACCTTAGAGAGCAGATGGGGCATCTTAGTCCTGCAGAGAGAACTTGATATTGGTTGATTATTTTTATGGCTTTTGATGCATCAATATTTCATATGTATTAAATCTAGGTATGATTGGTTTGATGTGGAAATAAGTAGATAATTCATGTTTGAGTTCATCTTCTCGAGCATGTCATGGTCTAATGTTCACGACCATTGTTCGTTTAGTGATTCACATAGCTTTTTTTGACTGCTTCAATATAGTTTAGCTTCACATATTTTTGAGAAATAACATCAACTTCAAAGCTTGAACCTTCAGGTACATGGTTTACATTATAATCCTTCTACAGTATATATCTCAGGCTATTGAATGGCACTGTGGCTTCTTAAGGTGGTAGAAAGGTTTCCACTTTCCCCAACAGGCTATTTAGATTTATAATAACAATTGGCGGTATTAGAAAGGAATATTTAGTCCTCAACATAATACTCTGCCGTGTTTGCTAGTGCACTCTATGTTCGATATATCTGTTTTTCAACTGAATATCATCCATATCATGTGCTGCTCATAACTGTGAGCATTTTCCGGTGTGTGTTAAGGCAATTTAAAGATGCAGATGAGTAAAGTATCTATGTTTGTGGCTCGGTTCCTGTTTTTCTCAGCGTTAGTAATTAGAGACGAACACGTTTGAGCTGGTTTCAGGGTTTTGTTTTTTCGTACAAAAGCAACGTTTTTGAGGTTTTGCATTTGCGTGCTTGCATGTCATGTCGCTTCTAGCGAAAAATTAAATATCAAAGCAACTAGCAGACTCTTAAACTATGAATACAAAGCTAAAATTATAACTTGATGCAAATTAGAAGCATATGTTGCAGGAGTAACTGTAGAAACTAGAAAGCCATTTACAATTTTAGTCATAATTACTTGAAGCTATTAATCAAAGTAACATTGTTCATTTTGCAAGTCTGTGTCAGAACTGGCCTGATCCAGGTCGAACCATACCTGCTGAAATACTTTGATGATGAGGTCATGGTATGCATCAGAATTTAGTGTCAGATAACAAGCCAAGAGTTCTTCTAGTTCTTCTGGTTGACTGATCCTTTTCTCCCTGATCATCTCTATCATTGAATCTCTAAAATCCTTCTCTGGATCAACTGAGCATTTCACCATGGCAAAGTTCTCCAATCTGGTCCTTCCGCTAATTGCGGTCTGTTTTGCTGCCTTCATCTTCAATTTGGCCTTCTTCATGTCTTCAATAGCTTTTATTTTGCAGATTTCAACTCTGGAAGCTGTTCTTGGAGAAAAAACCTGGACCTTGTTGTTTTGCTTCGTTCTCCTCCTTGGCAATTCTCTGCTCATGTACAGAGATTTCCTCTGTTTCTCACTCTTCACTTTCACCTTTTCATTTTTCATTTCTTTCCACTTTTCCCCATCTGAACTGAACTTTTCTGGAGAAAATACATCAGTTACCGCTAATTTCTGAGCTGTGAATGCACAATCGTCTTTAATTGTTGTTAAATTACAGGTTCTTGGATTCATGGTAGACAAATGTTGATGCTTTCTCTGATAATCACCTGTCAAATTCAGATTCTCCCTTTCAATAATTGGAATTGTTCTTCCAGGTTCCAGATCCAAGTTGTTCTTTTCTAATGATTTAGCTGATTTATGCTGTGCTTCAACTGATTTACTTTGCCTTTTCAACCTTTTCTTTTCCATAGCTCTTTCATTTTTCTTCTTCAACTTCAAGTCTTTCTGGGTTATCATCCTGCTCCTTGGTAAAATCTGCGTATCCCTACGAACTTCTTTCTTCTTCATTACATCACAAGCCATGTTGCTGAACGTCTTAGTTTCTGCAAAACCAAGCTCATCATCTGAATCATACCAAGCTGATCGGGACGCGCTTTTACTAGTCTTTCCATCAGCACCATCTTCTCCAAATGACAGTCTCCCAAAAGCCTTAACATCGCTATTGTAGAATCTTTCTCTAGCACCAGCAAACCTTGATGAGCTCACTGACACAGAATTCCTCATCTCCTTTTGCTTCTCTTTTGCAGGTTTTGGTTCAGAATCAATGCTCATTCGCTTGAATGTGGAAAGCCATGCAGTGGGGAGCACACGAGAAAGTGAAGGAAGGCGAGACGAGAATGAGGATGAAGAAGGTTTTTTTCTTCCCCACTTCATCATTAAACACCCGAAGAAATTCAAGAAGCCTGTTTTTTGGGACGTGAGTTATTTGATTTGTTAAGGTTTATAAGGTACAAAGAAGAAGAAGCTGATAAGAAAACTGAATTTGATGATAGTGGAGGGTTCTAGCAGTTAGGGGACAGTTAAGACTGTTAAATAGGAAAGTGGGTTTCTTACTGGTTTAATGCCAGTTTTTGTTGGTTTTTTTTTTCAAAAGAAAGGCCCGCCCTTAATCCCGTGACCACTTCGCCAACTTTTTCCCCTTTATGGTTTGTTCTTGGAGAGAAATCAATTCTCAGTAGGGGGCCCTCTTGGTCCCTCCCAGAGGGAACAAACCAAGTTCATTTACAAGAACTACCTAAAGCAATGTGTTCCTTCAACTCGATATCACAAATTTAGTACCTGCAATGCCAACAGTTACTAGGGCTTTAATATGGATGCAGGTTTGTGTACAAGGAAAATTGGCATTCCTTCTTGGGTTTTTGTGATTTGGGTAGTTCTTCTTTTTAATTTTCAATGTAACAATCTGATATTGTTATGGTCTTTGATGATTTAAGGGATTCAACTCTTTAATCTTTTTCCTCACTTTTGTAAGCAAAATTCGGTGGGTTGTTCCCTCTTTAGCTTTTAGCCTTTATTTTTGCTACCAAATGGCTTTTTCCCCTGTGATAGTCAAACATTGTACAATGCATTGAATTTTTTACTTCATCTACTGCACCCTCTTTTGGCTTTGAGTTTCCTGAATCAAACACGCTATAATGGAGAGTTTACTCTAAATCTGGCAGCAAAGTGGCCTGCATTTGTTTCTTTGTTCGTCTTTAACCATTTCCCCATAAATCCAACAAATACTGCTTGTGCCATGTGATAAGGAGCATTCAAACTTTCCTCGTTTTCACAATATTGAGGCTAAATCGAATGGGCTAATGGGCAATAAGATCACAGTGATTAAAACGAAACCAACCATCTTAATCGTTTATGTCAATCTTTTCAATATCTGTCAGTCTATCCACACCAACACCAAGCGATTTATTACGAGACTTGTGGATAAGGGTTTTGCAGCGAATGTTTTATGGCAATTAAATCATTAAGACTTATTGAAGAAGCTCGATGTTTAGGTTGGCTAAAAGTTATATATTGCTCCCATCTTAGGGAATCAAAAACAGCATGCTCCCATCTATGGACTTCCAAAAGGCAGAACAGATAGGGGTTCCATTGTCAGTTTCAGTTCACCCAACAGATGTAGCTGCTATTACTAGGTTGGGTTCTGCTGTTTGCTTGTACAGTTGCAGTGCTATGAATAGGTTATCTGTCTTACTTCAGACACAAGACTGACGTACCTAGTTTTGGTTTTGTAATAAGAAAGTGCAGAATTTTGGTATGGTGAAGGTTGTTATCACTGCTATAGTAGTTATTAGCAGCTATGTCATAATCCTATGTCTTCCATGTAAAGGGTAATTCGTGTATTAAAGCTGTATTAAAGCCTAGAACAGGCTCAAAGAACATTTTTTAGTATAATTCATCGTAGATTAAATAGGATTATGATATAATTTGGAAGTAAATTTGGTTTGCGTTCTTGTCCTTCTCTTACTGGTAGAAAAATCAGTTTCAACAAAAGCTTAAGCATCAAACCAACAATTTATGAAACAGAATGGTTACCGAACCAACGGCAGAAGTTGTGATTTGTTAACCTCTACAGTCGTCAAAGAAAAGCAAAGAAACAAAGGGCATAAGAGAAACAGTAGGTTTCATACAATCATAAAAAAAAAAAGTTGTAATAACATGAAAGCACTTTTCTAAAGACTTTCATTTCCACATTCATTCAACTTCAAACAATTCCTTTCCGTGCATAAATGCATTGGAATGTGAATGTGCATGAATTGAAGTTTGGTTGATTTCATGATCCATCAATGGCTAAGGGTTGAAAGCCAAGTAGCTTATCTCCTGTTCTTAGTTTAGTGGTGGCTTTTCTTTGGAAGGACGGTAATGCAGGTGCTGAAAATGATGAGTATTTATCAGCAGTTGTGGATCCAGGAATGAGAAGGGATAGCTTAAGGTTGGCAATAGAGGAGTGGAACCAGTGCAATGAGGTTGGAGGAAAGGTTCCACACATGGGCAGCCCCAGAGCTGCAGACTGCTTTGACATATATAAAGCTTCTCAATTCGAAGAAGGTAACCCTTTTTTCTTCTTTGCTGCTTCCATTTATGCTTCCATTGGGATATAACTTTAGCCGGTTCAGTGAAAATTCTTAATATACCACCAATAAACTGGTTTCTGTTTCTCTGTGTTCTCATTTCTGCACTTTTGGTTGCAGTGTGATGTAAGTAATTCTATCATTATTTTTGGTGCCAGTTGAATTCTATCACAGCGTTTATCCATTTAAAATGAAAATAATTACGAGAGCTAGTTGAACCCTAATAATGTCAGTTGATGTAAAAAATTGCTTACCTTGAGAAGAATGAATCTATTAACCGATTTTTCTTTTAAGCAGCGTGGTAATAGGTCATGCAATGAATTCTTATCCCATTTGATTAATATCTGCTCCCGTTGCAACTCGTTGCCCTATGTATTGGTCCACAGAGTCGCAGAGGATGATAACAAACTAGGAGTTGGAGACCCTTTTCTTGGAGTGCAACCAAATGCCCTTGTTGATGTGAACCTGTATCCTGCAAGTAAGGAACTTTACCTAGGCTCTAAATGCCAAGTTCAAGACACCCCAAATCCATGGCAGTTTTGGATGATCATGCTTAACAGTGGCAACATGGACACTTTTGCTGCCAAGTGCCCCAAAAATGGTCATAAAACAGGACCATTTGGTCCTGATAGTGGGTTCCCTTGCTTTGGAGAGGGATGCATGAATTGTTAGGAAAATGAGGTCCAACCTCATGTAAGTAGTTTTGGACCAAGTAAAGGCCAGGGGCCTTGATCTTTTATTTTACACAGAGCCCTAGCTACTTAATAAAAAAGAGGTGGGGTTGTTTTAAGTGTGTGTCGAAAACCAAGTAGAGAAAGAAAAAAAGCCAAAAAAAGCAGAAAGAAAAAAGAGAAGGGAGAGTTGGTTGAACAAAAGTCGATCTGTGGTCCGATTGAGTTGAAACATTGTCAGGAGGTTTATGATTCAGAGTTCTACATTCTGAACGGTGAAGATCGGGTTTGAAGCTCTCTAGGAACAAATCCATGATATATTTGTTGAGTCACTTATTTGGTGAGATTTCTCCAATTGTTTTCTTTAGTTGTTGTTTAGCTCTAGTTTTAGCTAGAGAAGAACTTTGTATACCTATTATTTGATAGTGAAGATTTTTCTGGTGGTCCATGATTTTTTCCCTCTACACTGGAGAGTTTTTCACGTAATTGATGCTTTATTTTTTCTGCGTTTTTTATTATTGATTGTTGTCTATTGCTTCTGTATTGTTGTGATTATTGCTTCAGGAGCAACAAGTGGTATCAGAGCCAGGGTTATTTTGAGACATCAATACAGAAGTAACCCAAGGATAGAAGTAAATTTTGTTTGAGATCATGGAGGGTGATACAGGTTCCATGATAAAATTGACAGCATCGAATTATTCAATTTGGAAGCCTATGATGGAGGATCATCTATACTGCAAAGATTTGTATGAGCCAGTATTGGATGATTCGGCTAAACCAGCAAATATGAAAGATGAAAGCTGAAAAAGCTAGGTAGAAAGACGCTGGCTACAATTAAAAATGGGTTGATATCAGCGTGTTCCATCATGTAGCGCAGGAGTTAGATGCTCACATTATTTGAGAAAAATTAGCAGCATTGTATGAGAGAAAAATATGTATGAATAAAGTTATGCTTGTTAAAAAGCTTACAACTTTACAGTATAGGGATGGACGATCTATTACAGAGCACTTGAGTGATTTTTAAGATATATTTAATTAGATGACTACTATGGAGCTTAAGATGGATGATGAAATGAAGGTGTTATTTCTTTTGGGTTTATTGTCAGACAGTTGGAATACTCTAGTTGTGACTGTTCTTAATTCAGCTCATGATTATAAGGTGACATTGGAGATGATAAAAGATAATATGCTTAATGAAAAAGTAAGGCGAAAAGATGTAGACCCTGGAAATCAAACTCTGGTCATAGAGAACAGAGGTAAAAATATCGACAAAGGTCAGGACTCAAAAGGTCGTGGTAAGTCTAAACATAGATCCAAGTCTAAAGGTAAAGTGAAGTGTTTCTATTGTGGTAAGGCAGGTCATATAAAACAAAACTGTAAAATCTTAAAGCAAGAGTGAAAAGATAAGAAAAGTAAGAGTTCAGATGATGGCAGTGTTACAGCAATGAATTCAAATAGTGATTCAGTTACTTTGATTTGTACACATGATGATTGTAATCATGTTAGTGATCCCAGCATTGAGTGGATAGTTAACACAGGAGCGGCATATCATTGTGTTTCTAAGAAAGAGTTGTTTACAACTTACAAAGCAGAAACTTTGATTGTACCAAGATGGAAAACAAGAGTGTGTCATGGATTGTTGAGATTGGTGATATTATTGTACAAACTAGGACAGGTTACATGTTGACTTTGAGGGATATTAGATATATTTCAGATATAAGAATGAACTTGCTTGCTATTAATATCTTTGATAATGAGGGATATGAAAGTCGATAAAAGAATGGACAGTGAAATCTTCTCAAAAGATCTATGGTAGTTGCAAAAAAAAATTATGTTACACAATGTATAAGACATGGATGCAATTGAACGGTAACCAGGTAAATACCGTTGAAAATGATGCTTCAGCAAACTTGTGGCACAAGAGACTGGCACACATGAGTGAAAAAGGGTTACAGGTTTTGACAAGACAGTCTCTCATTCCCTTGACCAAAGGTATGTCTCTCGATTCATGTGATTATTGTTTGTTTGGTAAGCATCATAGAGTTTCTTTTTGTAAAAGTTCTCAGAGAAAAAAAATAGATTGAAATTAATTTATTTCGATGTATGTGGTCTATTGAGGTTGAGTCATTAGGTGGTAGCAGATATTTTGTTACTTTTATTGATGATGCTTCACGTAAAACTTGAGTGTATATGTTGAAATACAAAAGTCAGGTACTGTAGTATTTTTAAAAATTTCATGCCATGGTTGAAAAGATGACAGGATTATCCTTGAAGTGTATTCAAACTGATAATAGTGGAGAATACACATCTAAAGGCTTTGAAGAGTATTACTCAAAGCATAGGATCAGGCATGAGATGACAGAACCTGAAACACCGCAGCATAATGGTATAGCTGAAAGAATGAATCGCACCATTGTGAAAAAAGTCAGATGTATGTTGAGGATGATAAAATTACCAAAGCCATTCTGGGGTGAAGCAGTCAACACAGCTTGTTATTTACTTAACAGGTCACCATTATTTCTTTTGGGCTTTGACATTCCAGAAAGAGTGTGGACAGGGAAAGATACTTCATACTCTCACTTGAAAGTTTTTGGGTGTAAAGTATTCATGCATGTGCCGAAAAAGCAGAGCTCAAAGCTTGACAGTAAAGTTACACAGTGTGTGTTTGTAGGATATAGTGATGAGAATTTGGCTACAGGGTATGGGATCCAGTAAAGAGAAAGACAATCAGAAGCAGAGATGTGATTTTTCATGAAAAAGAAACCATAACAGACTTTGAGAAAAATGAGAAG